CGCCAGTTGTCTGCCTTGAGCAGAGCCTCGCTTAGGGGGCCACTTGCCACATTGCCAATTCCACGCCCTGTTTCCATGAATGGGAAAATGACAGTCGCGTCTGCCAATGGATTGGCCTTCTGCACCTCATGAGAGACTCCCGCCCATGTGGAGGAGAACCCACCCGCGAGGAGACCATAGGCAATACAAAAGACATATAATGGAGGGATAGTGGCGGCGAACCCCCAAATAAAAAAGACCGCGATAACGGTACCGACAGTCGACATCAAGATGCAGGTAGTGATGTGGTATCGGTCGGAAAGGAATCCCATGATGACAGAGCCAAACACTGTAAACAAATTGACGAGGATTACCGTGAGAGACGCCATGTAGTCACTCGCGCCTAGACTGCGCGCATATGTCGGAAGGTAGATGGTCGGCAGGAAGAATCCGATTGCTTCCAGAGTGTTGCCAAGTTGGTAAATTATGAAGACTTTGCTGTACAAGAAACGAAAATTCAGACGGTGATACGCGATTTCTGTCGTACGCAGCCTCGGTCGATGAAAGTAGAGAAAAGGCACAGCAAGAATGAACAGTGCCACTGACGATATTTGAAGTGTGGCTTCAATACCATACTGGTTCAGAAGCCACTGGATGGCAAGTGGGAAGACTATCCCGGACACACCAGATCCGCCCTAACGATGAATATCAGCTCGACCTGCCATAAGAAGGAGTTTGGGGTGCAGAGTATTCTTTATAACTCACCCAGACAATACCAAAGGCAAGGCCTTTTCGTTTATCGAACCACTCCGACATGAATAGGATGGTGGGAGTATAGGCAAAACATCCACCGATTCCAAAGCCAATTCCTTGGGACAAAATAAGATGCATGACGTTGGTGGAAAAGGAACTCAGTGCCAAAGACAAGCACATGATGATAACTCCTATAGTGGACACCCAGCGAGCAATTTTAGGCACTAATATCATCAAAATGATTGCCAATGGGGCAATCAGGTATGCGAGACCCTGTAAGTTGTGTTAGTGAGAGAAGGGCGACCTTGAATTTCTTTGACTAACCATCGCACAGGTACCAATAACCGCAATGTTTTCAGATCCTTCAAAAGGCTGGTGTGTACTATAGTAGTCTTGAAATATACCGAAAGCGAATGCATAACCTGGCCGTATGTTAGTTTCAACAACATTCCGTCTTCGACCAAAAAAGGACGATGATCACGTACCCCAAACTAGAGCCTCGAGCATTGCAGAGGCCATAAGGAACAGCCATGCTTGCAGTCCTCCATCGACCGGCGGCAGCTTCTCATCGTCTGGAATGATTCTGCTGTCGGACTGTTGGTCGGAGGGTACGAAGGATGTACTCTGGCTGGTGAAACTGGGAGGATACTCCTTAGACTCCATGGTGCAAATACCTCACGACTCTGTGACCACTGGCGCGATGCGTATCTGAAAGTACAATGGGTCTGCGTGTGGAAGCCACGGGGAGACCCTCCTTTGAAAGGGTTTATGTTCAATGCGGTCGTTTGAAAAGAAAGCCGGGATTGGCCTGGGAAAAGGGAATAAGCTAATGGAAGCTAGGCGCATGACGAAATAAATCTCCTTGACAAGGCAAGGATCCACCCAATCGGCGTGCCAGGAGGGTAGGGCAAAAGCACATACCTGGAATCCAGGTAGACCGGGGTCCCAGCAATGTGATGTTGAACCCCTAGATGTACTGTATGGTCAGTGTCATAAGTCACCCAAAAAGACCGTACAGCAGTGACTCCTCAGCTTTCTACGTCTTCAATTGATGCTACGCATCTCCTCGACTAGGAATTTCTTCTCTGTCGTTCCTCACTGGCTGCCGAGGTAGTAGGCAGAGTGTTGCAATTTGCTGCGACTCGAGGCCGTGCCGATCGGATGCAGGATCTGCTCCAGAAATAATCCGAGAGACATGACAACCGTCTCTAGGCTTGACTCACTATGTGGGTGCACGAACCGCCCCGCCCAGCAGGTAAAACGGGAAATGGAATGTTGATCGGGATCACTGCATAGCAGAGCTGGTGGGCTCGGAGAATTCCATATTGATAACAGGTATCCGACTCGCCGTCGTTGGCAGAGAAAAGAACCAAAGGAGAGTCACCTTTTCCCTGATGGATGAAGCTTCGTCGCTGGGTAGATCCAATCAGGATAGATGCTCGCACCTCTAAACGGTGTCATGTATTGACGCAATTTAGAAGTCTTTGCAGGCATTAAGCTCGTTCGGTACTACAGAATGATATAAAGGTCAAAATGACATATCTTTAATAAGATATCGTCAGCAAAACAGCACAGTGCACAGTATAGAATGTCATACCTCTTCAAAAATCTGCGCGGAGAGGTTGAGACATTCCAGCTAACGGAGTTAACGCAAGTTTATCCATCGAGCTAGACGGGGTGATGTCCAGGCATTATGTTTGGAGATCCAGTCTTATCATAGTATAGGACATCTATGTCTGTCTTATCTTGACAAACCGGATCTTATTATAGCCACCGGTTACGCTCATCGTGCAATAGTCTCGATTCTTCGTTGATTCGGGAAAAACCGGTTCAAACATCTTTGTCACGGATGTGGATGTTTTGTACCTGTCTTGCCATGCCTATAGCTGACCCAGCTTTACATTTTATTGTCGTAGACAATTTGAGGAGGTGATCTACCTGCCTATGTTCCTAGGTTTCGAAGGTCCACGGTTGGTTTATGTAATCGGGTGATTCCGGAAAGGTGCCTGGAGCTCGGGTGGCCCCGGGGGATCATGTTGCTCTCAGTTTGAATAGTAGCTAAACCATTATCAATGGATGTTAATGAATTCGTGATATGTATATGTTCTTAATTCGTAGCTCAAAGAGTAGAATGCATCATTTCAGCAATGTATTCGTGATGAGCTTGGGTATTATATTTTCATTATCATTATCATTGAAATCGAATTGAGCTAGGAGTTCCAGACTGCGACTATCCGTGAAAGAGAGTTAGGATCTAAAAGTCCGCCGCCTCTGGCAACTTCTCGGGAGTATCACTCCGGAAGCTGTTCGTGATCAGGTTCCCGAAGGAAGGCGACCAGTCCACGCGCGGGGATAGACTATCTAATCCCCAGAGCTCAGAAACAAATTTGAGGATAGAAGTATGCGTGAACTCGTTCCCATCGCTAGGCTTATGCTGGACCAGACCCTTGGAAACCCAAGGGGAGATCAACACTGTAGGGACTCGAATCCCCAGGCGATCAAAGTGGAAAGTGTATGGCTCACCATCCCGAGCGGTCTCCGTGTAGGTCAGACTGTCCCCAGCAGGAACGTCACTGGGGGGCGAAACATGATCAGCGAAGCCACCATGCTCATCCCAGGTCAGAATGAAGAGGGTCTCATTCCACTGCGGCGAATTGCGTACAGCCTCATAGATGCCCTTGACGAAGTTCTCGCCCATATTGATTGGGGACGGAGGATGCATTGACATGTAGGAGCAGCACTCGGGGTTAATCCAAGAAAATTGTGGCAGCGCCCCAGCTTTGGCATCACTATAGAACTGGGAAATTGGAACGACGTTATCTTTGCCATTCTTGGCGGTCCATTCATAGAACATGGCATCGGGCAAAAACGAGGGTTTTGACTGGGTCGAGTTCTCGTAGTTTTTCCAAGTGATTCCCTTGTCTGATAGCTGCTCGAAGATCGACTTTTGTGGCAGCGCAGAGCTAAGAAAGTCGTCGTCATTGTGGCCATGGCCATGTGAAGTGCCAGAGGTCAAGTAGGCACGGTTGGGGTTTGTGGGACCGGGGACAGCAGCAAACCACCGATCGAACAAGACAAAGTTCTGAGCGATGGTATTGAAGACGGGGATATGGTCCGGAGTGAAGTAATTGATCGCCTCGGCTGCCCGGTCTAAGTCGTCCTTTGGGTAGGAGGCACGCTGCTCACTGATGAAACCCTCCATGGAGGACTTGGCTCCTGCAAGGGGGTGGTAGGTCCCAAAAACCTGCATGTTACCACCGGCGATGCTGTGATTGGGGTCGTCCGATGCGATATTCTTCGCATTTGGGTTGGCGCAGACGTGCTCGGAGGGGGAGGAAACATCGGCAGGATTGCAAAATTGAGGATTCTGTGGGCCATCAATGCTGGAATCATAGTCAAGACCGCCAGCAAAGTGGTCAAAGGACAAGTTCTCCTGGACCAACACCACAATATTTTTGATGTTGCTCATACCTGACGAAGCGGGCAACGCCGCGGCACCCAGACTTAGGGCAACGAGGAGTAAAGAGCGCGCCATATTGATGAAAATAGAAAGCTGAGCATGACTCGAGTGAGTTTACGAGTTTATAAGTCTTTGATCTCATTTTTTATTTTTTATTTTAATTCCTTTGAACATCCTCTTAGAAAGTCCTTTCATTGCACATGCTGCAGGTCACAATCCCGCGAGGTCTGCTGTTTCTATGTCGATCAATAGGCCCTGAATGACCCCCCCGCGTCGTGGGCCACGAGCCGACTACCATTGGCCAAGAGTTTGAAGGAACAATATGTTGTAGATCAGATGTTCCGATTCCTAGATTTTGAGACTTTGGATATAATTTAGTAACAATCTTAGAGTAACTAGTTAGTTATTAGAATCCAAAGTTTCAAGTGATAGTATATCTCATGATCTTCCAGGTCTAAGATTGGAATAACCCCCTTGTTTTTACTTGAAGGCTATTTCAAAAAAATTCTCGTCACCGCATATTCACTATATGGATCTTATGGTTTCGGAATTATTATTGTCCACTGTATACATATGTAGGAGTATGTACCGGCTTTTAGGCCGATGCGAATTTCCTGATCGGGGTGACGCCGCTTTATGAGGGCGCTCAGGGTCTTCCAGAGCTGCCACCTGGGGCATCTGACCTCACCTGACTTCGGGATTTAATTGTACTTAGTAAGCAGTCAGATGATCCATCTGATCTAAAGATCAAAAGGGACATAGTGAAGTCCTAGCTGGACCTCAACTATTGGCAACCCTCAGCCCCCGTCTAGAGTTGCATAATGATCTTCTTCGCTGACACCCCCTTCCGAAGCACCTCCAACGCATCCTGAATCTTGTCCAGTCCCGTGCCCACAACCTCCGGCTTCGGTCTCGGCACAAACTGCCGTTCCACCAGCGCCCTCGGCAAATACTCCTCAAAGATCGGCCTCAGAGGTGTCTCCGCCCCAATAACCTCTGGAGAAACAAGGATGAACTTCACCTCGACCTCCCCGCCCTCTTCAACGCTGTGTTTCCCCTCGGCACGGGCGATGAACTTCTTCGTCAGCCCGGGGCCCTCGTGGCTCTTCAGCACGGTGGCTAGGGCGTCCCGTCGCTGAGCGAGAGGGCCCCAACCAGCTGCCTCCCGCGCACGGCGAGCAGCTCGTCTCCTACGGTCGGGGAGTTATAGTCGACGACGTGCGCGGCGCCCAGGCTCTTGACGAGGTCGAAGTTCTTGGGCGAGGAGGTGGAGACGATTTCGTACCCCGCTGCAGCGGCGAGTTGCACCGCTGTGCCACCGACGGAGGACGCCCCGCCTGCGATGATAACGACGCGGGATCCGTCCGCCGGACGCGCGGGGACGGTCGGAAGGTCGAGGCCGAGGTAGTCCTTCCCAAACAAGCCCAGGCCGGCGACGATGAGGGCTAGAGGTAGGGCAGCCTTGCTCGAAGCTGATGTGTGATGGCAGGGGCGTGGTGAGCCACTCACGCACGACGGTGTAGGAGCTGGAAGGCGCCTTCGGGGGTGTTGTTGGAGGGGATGAGGCCGGCCATGGTTAGGACGCGGTCGCCGACGCGGAAGCGCGTTACGCCTTCACCTATGGCGATGACGGTGCCAGAGACGTCTTCGCCAAAGATGGTGGGTAGCGGATGTGAGGGAGGATGCCGTCGCCGAGGAACTGCTTCAACCAGTCGATAGGGTTGATGCCTATAGCGGCGTTACGGACGACGAGCTGCCCAGGTCCGGGGGGAGTGTATGGCGCTGGGCCGACCTCGAGAGGTGTGGCTTTGGAAGCTGTCAGCCAGGCTGCTTGGTTCTCTGGATGCTGGGCCATGGTTGTGTATCAATGCGCTTTTTCTGTCTTGAATTGAAGGGGCGTGATTGTGGTTTGGCTGCGATCCATTGCAGTAGGAAAGAGAGGAAGAGAGACTAGAAACGAGTAGATATACTCCCGCGTTGTCCGACGGAGCAGCGCCGAATACCGCATACGGTGTCATATGGTTACCTGAGGACACGGCGAAGCCCGGCTTAGAGCACGACTGTGAGTGGTGCTCGCTGAGTCGGCAGTGCGACCCTTGCGCAAGCTAACGCAGGCCGCCGACACCCAATCGATGGGCGCAGCTGCCTGAGCTTATCCCCGAACACCGAATTCTTCAATGGTTATCATGCCATTGCCTTTTGAGGCCGACGCTGGTCTCCACACTCCAACAGTGGGGGTACACGTGCCTCGGATGCAGCGTCGAACCAATGGCGGAATACGAACCGAGAAAATGGATACATCTACCTCGGGAGATAAGCGAAATCGACGCGTATCTCGAAACTCCTTTTTAGTATCCCCGAGCTGGAACCCGCGAGAACATGATGCCATTCGGCCCGTCAACCCATACGTCCTTTTACGGGTTTGTGAATGCGAAACATTGTCTAAATCTCGACATCTACAATGTTTACCATAAATTATTTGGTATATACATTGCAGTTCTTCTAGAAGAGATACTTGACCCTACATTATGACGTAGTCCTTTAATTTAAAGGAGGCCAAGAAAATCTTGTTCCACACTAGTTGGCCCCATGTTAGCTTGGGCCCCTGTTGCCCTATTGGGCCTGGCCATCGGACTGGCGTCTCAGCATTTCGTTTGCTTTGCAAGAGTCTACCCCCAGTGGACATTTGGCTTTCGCTAGATCAAACGCACTCGTGGGGCCTAACTTGTTGCGGCGAAAGTTTTCATCAACGTGTCGGACATTATATTTCTAACTGCCCGGGTCTCGAGCTACCTGATACAGGTCTAGTGTGCGCACTGTGTAAGGTGGCCTTTGGCCTGTATTGGTGTCTGGGCGTCGTCTAGCCCAGACCGTGGTTCCCGCCGGTCCCGGACCGGGCCTGCCTACCCCGAGTCGTAACATGCTTTGACAGTGCCATATTTTACGCATGACCTTTCGTCTGCTACATAGGTACCCGCCAACTTCTGGGGCCGTTCTGCTATCGCCACATTGGCTGCCTGTCTAGTGCACCCATCTCAGCGAGAGACCTCAGGAGTTTTGATTATTATGTAATACTTTTGTGCTCAGTTTTACTCAGTGATCAAAAAGCGGCTAGGGGTGAGCACTAAAGGGGAAAGGGAAAGCGTATGCACTCTGCTGATCAGTTATCTTATGACTATTATACATGATCAGTCGGACTGCACTGTTCCCGTGTCCCGCGAAAGCCATATCTCTGGATATTCTCCAAATGTCATTTAACTTGAGCTAAGTTGAGGGGATATGCCCAGGTGAAGCTCAGGCGGGCGTAGGCTACTTGGGCCGGGTCACCTGGTAAATCTCACAGGTGGAACTAAAGGCTAACAACAGAACTTAAACAGGAAACAGGAAATAAAAGAATACGAAATGTTTACTATAGACACTGAACACTGTTGGCCCCTGACTTTGTGTTCACTCGTCTATTTCCTGGTTGGTTCGTTTAACGTTAAAAGGTTATGTGGAATATATATATAATCGAACCCAAATAGAATAAGAAATAAATGTGAATTTGTACAAATCCGAAGTAAATATAAAGTCCACGAACCAATACCCAGCACATTCCTATCAGACATCGTCCTCACAGGTCGACAAACTCGCCACGAAGCAGCTGGTCTCCCTGGATCCGTTCCAGGTAGCTAGCCACCTTTGTTGTCAATGTAGCAATCTCATATCCGAAAAACTTGTATGCCGCCTTACCCGGTAGACTATGACCAAAGCGTGTCACGCTGATGCCCGCATCTGCGTACCGTTCCCACCCATTTGGCGCGAAGGGTTCAATCACTACAGCTGGTATGCCCCGGTGGCGCTGCAGCGTGGTACGCTTGTAACCGAGGGACTGTTTCTCAAACAGGCGCTGGCAGGGGAAGCTGACAACGCGGGCGGTGATACCTTTCTGCACCTTTAGTTGCTCAGCAACCTCCAATGCGAACGAAAGTTCAGCTCCCACCCCGATCAAAGTGACAGTAGCCGACTCAGCTTCAGACAGAACGTATGCGCCGTGGGCTACACCATCACGACGCGTCTGGGCGAGCTGAGGCAAAGTTTGACGAGAGGTCGAAATGATACTCGGGGTCTGCTTGGCGCCGATGGCAGCAATCCATGCACCAGCCGTCTCCTCGCTATCGCCAGGACGAATGTACAAAAGGTTTGGCATCGCGCGATACAGGTTGGCTAGTTCAATAGGCTGGTGGGTCGGTCCATCCTCGCCCATGCCAATGGAGTCGTGGGTGGCGACGTGGATGATTTGGAGGTGCTGCAACGCGCCCATTCGAACTGCGGGTGCAGCATAAAGGTAAAACATGAAGAACGTCGAGGTGACCGGAATGATGGTGTTCGGGGAGTAAGCTGCCAGACCGTTGGAGATGGCAGCCATGGCATGCTCACGGACACCATAATGAATATAGCGACCTGAATAATTGCCGTTGATGCCGCACGTTGTGCGGAGTTCGGGCTAACGATGCAGTTAGCTTTATCCCGTGTTATTTCAATATCAGTTGTCCGAACTCACGTGCTGGAAGTCGACTTTGCCAGGCCAGATCATGTTTACGGATGGCGAGAGATCCGCAGTACCGACCATGAAAGAATTGATATCTTTGGCGATTGGGTTGAATACTAAACCAGACGACGCACGGGTGGCAGTAGGCTTATCTGGGAAACTGATTGGGATGTACTCCTGCCAGTTGGCCGGGAGCTCGCCACGCACGCGAGCCATGAACTCGGCCGCTAAATCAGGATGCTGAACAGCGTAGTTGTCTACTAGCTGATTCCACTCTTGAACCCACTGCTCTCCACGCTCAGGAATCCCCTGGAAGAATTGACGCACAGATTCGCTGATGACAAAATGCTCCGGGTTGAAGCCGTAGGCAGTCTTCATATCACGGATACTCTGGGCGCCAAAAGCAGCACCATGAGCAACAGCTGTTCCCGCAACGCTACTGTCCAGACCAATGACCGTCTTGATATTAATGAAGGTGGGCTTTTGCTTCGATGAGCGAGCTTGTTCCAATGCATCAACAATCGCCTCAATATCAAAGCAGCCGTTTGCAACCTCGATCACATCCCAGCCGCAAGCGCGCATCTTTGTATTCACATCCTCAGTGTTAGTAAGGTCAACTGAGCCGTCACAGGTAATTTGGTTGTTGTCGTAAATGACAGTGAGGTTGTTTAGACGGAAATGTCCTGCCAGCGAGATCGCCTCGAGACCGACACCCTCTTGCAAACAAGCATCGCCAATCATACACCAAGTATGGTTGTTTACCACATCGAAGCCTGGGCGGTTGTAGGTCGCAGCGAGATTCTTCGTGGCCATGGCCAGGCCTACAGCATTCGCAATACCCTGACCTAATGGTCCGGTTGTCACTTCAATTCCCTCGTGCTCAATCTCCGGATGCCCGGGGCATAGCGCATCCACGCGATCGGAGTGGTACGATTTGAGTTGTTCGAAGGTCATGGCCTTGTAGCCTGTAAGATGCAGAAAAGAGTATTGGAAGAGGCAGGTGTGGCCTATAGGACGTTAGTATCAATTTAGAAGAGTACATGCAGAACTGACCATTTGATAAGACGAAGCGGTCCCGGTTGAAGAATCCGGGAGTGTGGGGTGCATAATGCATAACATATCTCCATAGCGCAACGCCAATCGCAGCCATACCGATAGCACCACTAGCACACGATCAGCGTCTGCTCAAAGTAAGATTATGTTGCTATGAGCATACCCGGGGTGTCCGCCATTGAATTGCTGGCAGAGGTCTGCAATCAATAGCCGAAAGGTCTTCAATACCAAGTCATGGTCCTTTGACAGCTTGTGAACTATAGGCATTGCAGAGCTGTGGACGCCATTAAAGCCGTTCCGTTGAAATTCGACTGACATTGTAGGAATCGTCATATATGAGAAACAAAGAATATAGAATATCCAAATGTCCAAGGCTGGAGGGAGAGCTCATTGAAATATTGGAAGTGGTGATGCTTAATATTTCCTAATCGGGCGATCTCCCCCCAAAAGGGTCGACCCCACCTCGGCGAGTTGGCAGCTCCATCCAGACCAAAATAGGTAATTCGAGCCACAACTTGCTAGATCAAGTACTTATTGGGCTCCCACAGCAGCTTTAAAGAATAGAACTCGCCCACTTTTGTGAGTTTGCATAGAAAACACATAATGGCTCCGGTACTTCTCGATCAGCCAAACGGCCAGCATGTGGTGCAGGTGGTAAAAACGGCAATGGGCGAACGGGTTCCTCTCAAAGTTTCCCATCCCAATCCCTCATTGCAAATAACCGCAGACCAGAAGCTGAAATCAGTCGACACGCCTGTTTACGCTCCCAAACCAGGCGAGGCACTGGTTCATATCAAAGCAACTGGAATTTGCGGGTCGGATCTTCACTTCTGGAAGACCGGGCGCATTGGATCATTGGTGTTTGAAGGCGACTGCACCATTGGCCATGAAGCCTCGGGTATCGTTCTGCAATGTGGCGAAGGGGTCAACCATTTGAAGCCAGGTAGACATGATTCATTCGAGTTTGAAGATTTTTGAGCTGATAGTTTGATAGGTGACCGAGTGGCCGTCGAACCTGGTGTGCCCTGTGAAAACTGTTTCCTCTGTGACGAGGGACGTTATAACCTGTGCGATGATGTCCAGTTTGCCGGTGTTTACCCTTATGAAGGTACCATGCAGCGTTACAAGAACCACCCTGCAAAATGGCTGCACAAGCTACCCGACAATGTCACTTTTGCGGAAGGCGCACTGCTTGAGCCCCTTTCGGTCGTGATGCATGGCGTCAAGTCGGCTGGTCTTTCGTTGGGCCGTGGTGTAGTTGTATGCGGTGCAGGCCCAATTGGCTTGATCGCCTTAGCTGCAGCACGTGCCTCCGGCGCGCACCCTATCGTGGTGACAGATCTAGAACCGTCTCGACTGACGTTCGCGAAAGAATTTGTCCCTTCCTGCATTACCTATGAGGTGGACCGTACAATGGATTCACAAGGTAATGCAGAGGCCATTCGTACTCTTTTCGGGTCTGGCGAATATTTTGCTCCAGAAACAATACTCGAGTGTACCGGTGTGGAAAGCAGTGTATGCACCGCTGCATACACTGTACGGCGGGGAGGCACCGTCATGGTGATTGGTGTAGGAAAGGCGATCATGAACAACTTACCTTTTATGCATATTTCTCTCGCCGAGGTCAGTTGCGTTGGTGTGCCGGTGGAGTAAATATTGAATATTTCTTGCTGACTCTGCTAGATTGATCTCCGGTTCATCAACCGTTACCGTGACACCTGGCCGCCAGCAGTTGCCTGCCTAAGTGGTGGCATCTTGGACCTGAAGAAACTTGTATCGCATCGCTTCCCTCTTGAAAAGGCGGAAGATGCCCTCCATCTTTGCGCTGATACCCGAAACGGTAGCATCAAGGTGTTGGTGGTCGATGAGCAGGAGGCTTCCTTGTAGATATGGCGAGGAAAAGTTGCTTTCGATCGTTGTGACGATGAGCGCTGCTGGACTTGGTGCTCCATCGAGTTGATCTTGTTTAGTACCCTGTAAACTAGGAGAATGGCAAACTGAAGTAAATAATATTCAGCGACACAAATGCTTGATTTGATACTATATACCAATTCAAGCCAGACAGGATGCCCTTAACAACTCTTAAACCCCACTTTGACCATTGTATTCCCTCAAAATGATGGCTGGCAATAGATGGATTCGATGACTGGAATTGGGTCCTTGGAAGAGTGCTCGCCAGGACTCAAGAATGTGTTGTGCCCGGTGCAGTCAGGGCCGCTGTCCTACGGTCAGTGAGAGTCGAATTCTTGGATTGGCATCACACTTACGTGAAAAGACGACATGGCTTTTTCAAAGACACGGTAAGAACGTCCCTACCACGCGTTAGTCTCAGCCAAAACATGGTAGCTAGAAACCAATCTCACTCTTCCTCAATGGGATGGCAATCATTCAATGGCACATCAATACCACGGCTTTTGTCTGCTGTTTCAATCCCCACCTGCATGGCCACGTTAGCAATAGAACGTGGACGTAAAGAGCAATATGCGCACAATTGTTCTTTTGGGATCCTTTGCTGCCGACACAGAGAGAAGCATCAAGCTTAGAAGTGACAGCTGTTTGAGACCGTACATGACGCAGATAACAAGCAGAGATCCAATAATACTAGATCTGAGGGTATGGGATGCTCGATGGTGCCTGCAAGTATAACGCAAAAGGTCGACGACTCTTCCTGCAAGGAGATACCATCTGTCTTTTCCCTCTATCCCTTGCGTCTGTCTCTGCAAGGGCCAGGGGCTACGGCCAACAGCTTTGTACGGTCACACCCCCTTTTTTGGAGTGACCTCCCTTATACGCAGGCCTGGGTTACATATTCCATATTTCATATACATATGTAGTTATATCCCTGGTCCCGTGGTCCCTCAAAACACTGTGTCCAAAGAAAATATTCCAATCCATAAAATATCCATAGACATCCATGGATATCAAATCATGGACCAAATCATGTATTCCACAACTACGGAGTAAGGAGTAGTGAGGATCAGAATGTGACTGGTGATTTGAGCTGTACGGATCTTAGGTTGTGCTCGAGTTGCAGTGTCGATGAGTGTTGTTGAACCTTGGGGGACCCTGAATTGTACGCTCCGTAGATATTTACAAAAGATAGAGCAGATTCCGCAAATAACATGAGTTATTGAAGAAATGCTCAAAGGACGTCTGAAGCGTCCAAGGAGTGGAAGTGGCTGATGTCTCCCGAGTAGCAATCTCTCCCCACTTCAACTCGCCAACTTCGGACTTTTTCGGATCTTCTTTGCATTTTCTCCGTGACATATTTACAATCCAACACAGACAGACTCCATGACTCCGTGAATCGATCACAATTCCCCGTGAACTGGGAGAGCCATCGCATGTCTCCAATTGCGCCATGAACGACTGGTCCCAACCTGGAGCGACTCCATCCAATTCCACCGATGCTGCATTTGCTTCTCCATTGGGAGCTACCAGCTGGGGTGATGGATTCTCCCATGATCCAGGCTTCTTAGCTTCTCAGGAGGAGCTACGATGCATGCTTTTCAATCTCGCGCAGTCCGCAGCCCCGACCCGTGCACCGAGCCCAGATATCCAGGAACAAGATGCCACACAATTGCGCGATAGGGAGCAGACCCCAACGCGTCCTGTGCTGTCAAATCTCCGTCGCATTGAATTCTTGAAGAACTATGTTGGGCAGGTGGCACCATGGGTAAGTGACATTGCTCGTGATCTCAATAATCGCTGATCCCCGACCGCAGCTCGATATGTTCGATTCGCAATGTACCTTTCGAGTGCAGATTCCTACGCTGGCCCGATCATTCCCCGCCCTGCTGAATGCGATCCTCGCGATATCCGCCCGACAATTGGAGAGGAAGGAGGGGATTCAAGACTCGTTTGACAGCCTGGAGCTTTACCAGGAAGCGATTCGCCTGCTCAGCCCACTGCTGCAAATGCGCGACCCTAAAGTTGTCGCCGCCTGCGTACTGCTCTGCTGTCTTGAGATGATGTCTGCGCGTGCGCAGGATTGGCACCGTCATTTGGAGGGGTGTGCAGCACTTTTTGACGCCTTCGAAATGAATGGGTTCAGCAGCGGCCTTCTACAAGCAGTGTTTTGGTGCTACGCACGGATGGGTGAGGATCCATATTGATGGTCAAATAACAAAGGGATATCACTGATTTGAAATAACTAGACCTATGTGGTGCGTTGATCTCTGACGGGACACAGAGCACTCTTCTTCGGCCCAGCAAATGGCTCGCGCCTGGATACCACGAAGACGATGCCCCACAGCTCTTCGAAGCTGCGCAATCCCCGGACATGCACGCCAACTACGCGGTATACCTGTGTGCAAAATCCTGCGAGCTGGTGGCTGATCGTACTCAGTTTGTGGAGCTAGCCGTCCAGAATGACTGTACCGGAGAGGCCTTCAATCGCCGTTGGCTGCGGCTCTGGGGCGATTTGCAGCATTGGCTTGACAAGCGACCACCGGAGCTATTACCAATCCATACAACAACAACAAAACCATTCCCCCATATCCTTTTCCTACAATGGGCGGCTATATCCTCGAACCAACTATACCACACGGCATGCATTTTGCTGCTCGACTTGATGCCCAAATCTATCAAGCTGCAGCCAACACCCGCAATGTCTGCGTTGTGGCACGCGAGGCGCATTTGTGGAATTTCGCTCGCCAATCCGCACCATGGATGCTTGAACAACGCCATCCAGCCGCTATGGATTGCGGGACGGCTGTTCAGCCATGTATCTGAACACACGATTATAATCGACCTGATTCGCCATATCGAAGCCGAGACTGGATGGGGCGCTTGCTGGCGTATCCGCGATCTGGAACTAGCCTGGGGGTATCAGATCTCACGCTCAAACCGGACTATGGGCAGACATCGGTTTCCCGTAACAGGGTGAGTATCGGTATCAACTTGAATGATCTCGTCAAAGATAATCCTTTACTATGTTTCATCGAGAAGGCACCACTCGGTTCGCAGGCTATGCAAGCAGTTATTTACGTTCCACCCTGTCACCATACGAATTCGCTCGAATCCACGCACAACCTCATGCTGTTGTGACTCATGTGTCATCCGATGAGCTGCCAGCAGAAAGGATGCCAAGAGACATGGATCCCAGCACTCCCGACGATCATTGTGGAGAGCAATACTGCATATCCGCTGCGAGTGCCACAGCGGTGACATGGCAACAGAGTGGAAGTCAGCGACGCGTGCGGTGCGAGGCCTGTTGTGTAGTAAGATCAACATGGCCGTATGGTATAGCTGGTTGCCAAACAAGCCCGCTCCATTGGCAAAGAGAATAACCGGGAAATTTCCTTCTGGCCCAGCTAACTGATCGCCCATCTCTAATTCCAGCATGGGCTCAAATTCCCGTGGCCGCTGACGATACCATTGTTGCAATTCTTCTACCAACTGAATCCATATATGGAATGAGGGTCGATCAGGAGAAACCTCTTCATTGTGCACAAATTGGATCGCTCTCGCGCAGAGCCATAGCGGGCGACATGCGTAGAAGAAAACCATTTCAAATGGATCAGTCACAAGATCTACCTGTCTGAAACACGGGAATGACGGGGGAGCCTGCATGCGCATGTCGCTATCGGTCGCTAACGCTGTCGCGAGATCTGTGGTGCGCGAACAAGTCAGTGAATAGTGATCGAACCACTTAAGTAGTTTGGGAATTCATACCAAGCCTGAAAAACAGCCAATAGATCGCGGAATTAATATCTCTGCCTACCGCGTGGGAACTTAGGGCCCCCATGAGGTCATAATCGCACTGTCTTTCAGGGTTCCACATAGTATTGATATCCGAGATACAATGTTTCACTTGATCTATAACTCTCAAAAGTGCGACGTATGTAATGTCAGCCTGGATATCGGAGTCGGTTTGCTGAAGGGATGTCTTGCTCCTCTCTTCGGCTGGCTTCTGTGGATGAAGCTGGCGGAAAGAAGTCTCGGATAGATCAAGGATGGAGTTGCGGATAGGGGATGAGACCATCGCAAGCTGAAGACCTTGGATTCCGAATGATTGACCAAGATCACATATGTCCAACTACTGCAGTCAGCACTGTGCAGGCCGTGGTGGTTTCTACTTGCTCACCCAAGAGGCTACCTCGTAACGATAATGCCGTAGCAAGGCTTGTGTTTCGGTGGGTGAAATTGGCTTGAGATCCGATTCAGGTGGTTGTTGTATACTTTGCGGGTTGAAGGGTAATTGAGGCAAAAAATTCGATGGTAATATTGGAGTGCCTCTCGCTGGTGATGGAACTTCTAAGTCCGACAGCCCCAGATCGGGTTTATTCATACCGAGAGCCAACAATCCGGCGACCGCCGATTCATCATTGTCATTGAGACTCGTGTAATTCTGTTCTTCCACGGCATGGGGGCCTGGCTCTGACCAGAATGGTACGTCTTCGTCTCTGGCATCGCCAAGTGTGTTGGGGTCGGCTTGTTGTGGTTGTGGAGCTGTACCAATCCGAGAGAATGCTTCGTCCAGCGGATGATCCTCAGTTTGGTTGCAATCTTTTGCGGTCTCTTCAGTAATGAACTACATATATATGGATCAGCTCTTTACCTTGGTGCGTGTCACCAAAAGACCTACCCGAATCGCCTCATAGCTGGAAGATGGTGTCTCGGTATCTGGTGCCTGAATAGTACGTGCATTCTTCGTCAAAAAGGTCAATTGCGGACCATATTGGCATTGGAAGTTCCGGTCGATGCAGTTCCGGCATCGCGGTTTGCCTTCATCACCTGAATATCTATTAGACTTGAACGTTCTCCACAGATCCAGAAAGACATACATTTTCGCCGACGAACACGGCAACGCATGCATCCAGTGCGACATCGGGTCAGTCGAGTTTCTCTTTGACGTTTCATGGTAGGATATTAGAAGCTCCGGGGCTGTGAGACGGGATCTCTGGGGTTTCTAACCGGGAAGGTGCCAAGGCCCCAGATTAGGAAGGCACAAGCACCATCACCTGACCATCCATGGCATGGTTTGCATTGCCCGGAGCACATCTTCGGGTGGCACAGGCACTTTTATACAACTACACGAAGTACATACGGAGTCGTCAGAACTGATATTCGATAACAAGTCAAGTTGAAACCTGGGAAATTATTAGGTTAAAATAATCAAACCTACGCGCAACTACGCTTTCTTCTCTGCCAAACCTCGACTCTTCTTCCACTCGTCCACAATTCCAGCATAGACCGAAGGCCGATACACCCCGGTCAGCTCAGTGTAGAACCCACCCCCGAGTCGATGGGGATTCAGACCCAAATCGCGCAGGAGCATATCATTATACTGATGCAGTAGTTAGATTACCATATCCTCGTGGTTTTGCGCAACAACCATACCTGAATGGCCTCAACTTCAAGGCCAGTTCCCGTCAGTGAGCCTAGGACCACATCCTCGGAAATAGTATTCTCCATAGCCTCCAGCGAAAGATTTCCGAGCGAGAGGGCCTGGTGTGGAGTTGACTTAATGTCCGCGGTGGAGTCGAGCCCTCCTGTCAAAAATGCCGCGACCCAAAGAGCTTGAACCTCTGCAACAACGGCAATGGTTGATGATAAAATAACGCCGAGCGTTGCAAAGGAGCGGTCGCCTTGTGCGACTAATTCAGGTGCAACCATACGGCGGAATAGGCGATATGGTACCAGCTTGTGAGATTCGGCCCATGAAGGGGAACTCCGATCTGTGAGAGCGCATCTCGTCGCATTCAAAGTCTTCCTGACCATGACCTCGGAACGTCGATCTAGATCCTCCCAGTGTTCGATGCGGTCATTTATGGCTGATTCGAGTGGTCCATTGATTCTCTCTGGTGTTTCCACCGGAATTTCACGATTCTCGCGGATATCCTTGCCTCCCGTGTTCACCAGGGCTGACAGGCCCAGTTCTAGACGGAGACTTACAGGTTCAAACCGAATCGGGACTATTGGCTTATATCCGGTCGCGTGGATGACCAGATCAACCTCATCAATACAACTGCTGTCTGACAAATGCACTGAAGCTTTTATCGATGAATCTGTGGTTTTCTCCCTGGTAGCATCGATACCTGTGATGGCTGATCGGTACACGTTGACATGGGGTAATCGAATTGTTTCCCAGAGATCTCCTTGGTTTGCGATACCAATACCGGATGCACACGAGACAACACTGGAAATCATCAGTCACAGAATTCCAAATGACCTCTCATTGGACTGACCTGTTCTCTGGGCGAAGCTTTTCCATCTTGCGATCTGAACCATATTGTGCCGTTTCCTCCAAGCCTTTGTCAATTGATCGCCAGAGCCAACGAATCCACCATCGACCTACTGGGTTGCCATGGAATAGCCGCGCTAGCCATGAGCCCTCCCAGCGAAGAACCCCGGAGGGTCCGAGAGACAGACGTTTTGGAGTCTCGTAGCAACACGGGGTGAGATGGGTGAGCAGTCGACTGCTGGCAGCCTTATCGCTTGCAACAGTGTCGCCATTTGGGAGAGTAGACATTGGCGGCACCATCCACGCGGGCCCTACACCTCCATCACGGATAATCCAGTGTACTTGGACGGGATTTTCCTGTGTAGACTTGAGGTGTAGCTTTGAGTCGTTGCGATGTAGAGTCGCAAAGAAATGCACCAGATCAAAGGATGATTTCGCACCACCATAAATAGCAACCGACCGCAGCTGTGGGTAAGGAGAATATTTCGCTGCGGTGCAAAAAGCCTTGGAGTCGGGTGCTTTCAGCGGCTGATATCCCAGGTGTTTCCTTGCCCAGTCTCCAACATCCTTGGCATGGATGACTGGAACAGGGTTATCGGAGCCCATTGATGACCCCTTCGTGTCGGGCATATTCGGTACGGAGGTCAGCCCTGTAGCCAGGACCAACTTGTCGCAGATAATGGTGATGCGCCGACACGGGGACGTGGATACACTGATGTTGAGCTTCCACTCTTTGGTTTCTAGACGGCTGATGTCGTCGACCTAGAGATCATTCAGAAATCCCGCAAATGTAGAACGGACTGAGGGTACCTTACCGTCCAGTTCAATCGTATGTGTTTTTTGAGCTGCCATTTCTCAACCCATATACGGAGATAACGGTTGATCTTCCAGCCTGCAATGAACTGACTCTGTGTGTCATCTGCATGTCCCTCTGGAACAACGTCTGAAAGAGGCAGGTCACTGAATTCATAAAGTCCATATGAGTTCTGGCTTAACAAGTTTGGGTAAAGGCGCTCCTCTGCCCAAGTACCCCCAATATCCGAAGCCGAATCGATCACAAGAAGGCGACTTTCGGATGGGGCCGTTGGCAAAGCGTCGATGTTCTCAGTAAAACAGCTAGGGATTTCGGCGATTTTATCTGTGGCTGTACTTTCACCGTCGTATGTCCCAACCAGTTGTAGATATGTCTTCGCTGCGATAAGACCGTACAGACCTAACGAGTTAGCCAACGCCCAATTTTGTCTCGACTGCTACCAACCTGCTCCGACGATCACGACTCGTTCCATGGCTAAAATGATTGAAGAGGGGGAGGAAAGGAGAGGGGGAAAAAACGGAGTTTTTAATCCAAAAGTGTACAATGAAAAGGCAACAATACGAAGAATAGCTCGGAAATGCCAGGATCTTGATATTGTTCGTGTGGGGTCACGACAACAATGGGAATCCCATTACATATGTAGAAGAATAGATATTTTGTAAATATTTGAGAAACATTAGAGACAACTTATAATGGAATATAGCTCTGGGCATCATAGAAGGTAATACTCTAAAACACAGCTTGACTGGCTCTAAGTCACATACTAAAGATTGTAGCTTCGCAGTTATACCACTAAAGGAGAATAAAAGGTCAGAGAACAAACCATTCTTATTGCGGAAAGCAAAAATTTATCAACTTCAGTCTCTTATTTAGTCTTCCCTTATAGTACCAGTAATATATCTATATCTTAACTCCTTCCGTATATTCACATTACATTGTGAGTTCCCGAATCTGCCCGACCAGATCGATCACAGTCTCCCTGAAAGGTCGATATTTCACCCCCAACTCCCGAGCTACAGTCTCCCCATCAATCCCATAAGAGGCACTCGGCTTCTCGCCCATCTTATAATTCGTAGTTACAGCCTCTTTAGCCCAGTCGAATTCATCGCGAATGATATCCGCAGCATATTCGTACGAGAACGGCTCCAGCGAAGCAGCCACAAATCTCTTTCCACCAGCTTCGGGTGTAAGCAAAGCCTGAACATGCACCTCAGCGAGGTCGCGAGCATCAATCCAACCGGGGACCCGCGTCCCGGGAAGTGGATCTGCACCTGCGGCCACACTCCAGAGCATCATATTTGACTCGTTGAGCTGCTGCACCGTCGGCACGGGGTGCACGACCGGACCGAAAACCATGGGAGGACAGAGAGTTACCAGGTCGAATTTGGTTCTCTCTTCATTGACAAACTCCCATGCTGCGAGCTCGGCAAACTTCTTCGAACCGCGGTATGCGGTGACAGAGTCTGATTTCGGATCGATTGCCTCCTCGTATGTCAGCGGGTTCCAGTTCGCGGCGGTATACGTGAATCCTGGTGCCGGAGTGCTGCTCGGGTTGACCACTGAGGCGAAGGAGGAGGTCATGACAATCCGCTGGACTTTTGATCCTGGCTTGGCGGAGGCAGAAAGAATCGACTTGACTCCATTAATAGCGGGCAAAATCAATTCCTGCTCGTTGTTGGTGGTGTCGTAGAAGAATGGCTGTGAAACTTATTAGCTCCTTTGTGTCGGTCATGAGCAAGATCATTTTGAGTTGCCTACACTCGCTACATGGATGACTGCGTCAATGCCATCCATTACAGAATCGAAAACCCCAATCTGTGTGAAGTCTTCCACGACGACGAAATCCAGCTTCGAAGCGTACTGGGAACGTGCAGCCTTCATCTCATCTCCCTTTTGCTTTGATCTTGTCGAGCCTCGAACTGAAAATCCGCGAGCCAGTAGGTTGTCGACGACATGGGCGCCGATAAACCCTGTGGCACCAGTGACGAGGACGTATCTGTGATCATGAGCACTGATCGAGTACGTGGGAAGAGACTAACTTACGAGGGCTTTTGAGAAGCCATTTTACTAGGTGTATTGTTAGAAGGGTAAGATGAATATTACGTCTTTTCTATGAATTTATTATAGTAGTGCGTACCCCGCGTGGGGGAAACGAGGTTCCGAGATTAATATCCACAGCAATTCCACATTGCTGCTACTGTGGGGGGCTGGAAAAATAGCTTGAACAGAGAAGAGTATTTTATTGTTCTAATTGATTGGTTATATCGTTTAGATATACACGTATAGGGGAGATCAATCACCACGTATCTAAATCTACTACATCCACCACATCCAACTCACTTCTGCTCCTGCAGCACCTCCTCCGTTGTACGGACGATAACATCAAAGGCGTTACGGATATACTTCTCTTCGGCCAAAGCGTTGGCACTAATGACCCGTATAACACAGACGCCATCAACGACCGTAGACGTGATGAAGATTTCGCCTCGCGTGTTGACCAATTCGGAGATCTTCTTGGTCAGACTGTCAGCACCTTCATCTTTGACCACGCGATCGGAGGGTCCACCGGTCCCATTAGATACACCCTGGGGGCTCTTGACGCGGAAGACGGTCAAGCCAAAGCGTGGCTCTGTGACAATCTCAAATAGATCGGATCGACCGCGCACCAAGCCAGCAAAGATATCACCAAGCCCGATGGTCTTGCGGATATGCGCTTTCATGCCATTGAGACCATAGCTCCGAATCACGAACCAAATCTTCAGCGCGCGGAATCTGCGACCGAGAGAAATAGACCAGTTCCGGTAGTCAATTACGGTCCCCATATCCGAGTATGGATTGCGCAGATATGTTGGCGTGATATCCAATGCGCTTGTCAGATCCAAGCGATTCCGGACAAAGAGGACGCTTGGGAATGTTAGGCCGAGAATACAAACTTGCCCACGGATCATTGGAGTGCAAAGCTTACCTAGCATCAAAATTGACTAGCAACCACTTGTGCATGTTCATGTTGAAGCTGTCAACACCCTCCGCAAAGTTCTTCGCAATATACTGCCACTCATCCGCAACGAGCGAAGCACCGGCATAGGCGGCATCAATATGCACCCAGATACGCCGCCAGGCCGGCTTTTCCTGTAGAACTGCCTTGATCTCTGCAAAGCGGTCCACACTACAGGTATTTGTCGTGCCAAAGGTCAGGGTGAGGTGGTACGGGGTAAGTCCGTCCTTGTCGCACGTCTCAAGGACCTCACGCAGACAAGGTCCGGTCATTTCCATATTATCCTCCAACCGCGTGGTCACGCTGCGGAAGCGAGTACCCGCAATCAAAGCACCTTTAGCACCGCTGCTGTGTGTCTGGTCACTGGCAATAGCGACCAGCCTGGCTTGGACATCGAACTTGCGGTCCTCGTACTCCGGTGTACCCTCCTTCAGGCCTTCTGCAAGCAGCAGCTCCCGCACACGCCTCTCCCGTGCGGCGACAATAATAGTCGCAATAGCATCACTCGCACTGTTCTGGATCACGCCGCCGCCGCGGGTCTCCGACGTACTCCTGAAACACTCGGGTAGTGCCAGAGCTTTCGCGACCCAGTCCATAATAATGGTCTCCATCTCTGTGCATGCTGGCGAGCACAGCCAGTTGAAAGCAGGGGCGGTGAATGTGGCGGAGTACATCTCACCCAGAATGCTGGGGTAAGTCACGCAGGCTGGGTAGTACGCCATGAAATTGGGAGACTGCCAATGGGTCAAGCCAGGTTTGATCTTGGTGTCAACATCTTCCTGGATTTGGGCCCAATCTTCTGGCTCATTAGGGGGGTCCTCTGGGATCAGAGTGCGAAGGTATCCGGGCTCGATAGCGGGTAGGACGCGGCGCTCGGGCACGCTGTCGAAGTAATTGACGACTGCACGAAAGCTTGGTTAGATTCAAAACTATTGAGCCCGAAGCTCGCAGAAAGATAGCATGGCTCGTACTATCATCAATGGCAGAGTGTGCTGCGGTCTTGAACTGGTTGTGATCCATGCTGCGCGTCAAATAGAGATCTGCGATGGGGGTACCCGTGTTTCTATGGAGCTGTAAAGGCGGCAATTGGCGCAACAGTAGAATACAGTATAGGAAAACAAATGTATAATACGAGTACAAGTGGAATATGTGAAATTGAGGCCACAGCGAATGTTTTGAGGCAAATGTGGGAAAACCAGACATGTTAAAGAAAAGGCGCGGGGAGGTCTGGAATTAATTCCGTCGGAAGCTTCCGTTCTGCGTTCCGAACGCTCGGAATATTCCGCCTTTCCGAAGAGTATATACGTCACTATTTATGATCCCCAAGTCTATCTCCTATAGCTCAGTCTTCCTCCTTGGGATCATAGATGTCGCCTGCAGGTGTCTTCTCCAATCTCTTCCCATCTTCCGTAACAACCTCCTTGCTAGGGACGACTACCACAAAGACCCGAGCAACATCCTTGCCTCGATTCACCCATTCGTGGTTTGCGCCGCGGCAGACAATGACATCGTGTTGATTCAGGATCTTTTCTTCGCCTCCGTCCGTGATAAATCCGACGGTGCCAGACAGTACCACGGCATAATCCAAGCTCAGTGTCCGATGGAACCAGCCTGCGTCTGCCGGGGGTAGATCGAGGATGCGACAGGAAGGACCCTTGGTATCAGCGAGTGGGACGAGAGTCTTGTGTGGATCAGAGAGCTGACGCATATTGTCCACCGGGAAGCCGCGCGACCGGTGAATTTGGATAACCCCGAAGCCAGAGTCAGGCCCGGGGGTTGAGAATGCCGGAGCAGTTGTGGGATCGTAGGGCGTCAACATTTCGTCGGAAGCAAAATATGCCTTTCCTTGAGCATCGTGGCCTGCGATAACCCGACGAATTGGAGTGTCCATGGTAAGGAGAGTATGTCTTTGGAATGAATAGTGGACAAGAGGAGTGAGACAGAGTCTTCTTAGAGAGAAGCGAATATGACTGGAGAAAGGATAGTAAGTCGGAGGGGGGGCTTCTTGTGTTTATACCTTACGGACTGTGGAAATAACCGATTAATGAAGGATATTACCAAGCCTCGAAGATGTCACCAGTCGTTCGTGGATTGAGTACGCGTTGTTCCGATTGCTAATCATGAGATTGGTAAGATGGGGGCTGACAAGGTATGGGGGCTGAAAATTCATGAAACTGCAAGGCTAAGGCTTCCCGTCTGCCGGCAGAACAATCTAAATCTACGGCTGACATGTTTTTGACCAATCGTGTTTATAACCAACAGCTTGACTGTTGTTTACCTAGCTTCATTTGAATCCCCCTGATCGCCTTCCCCGTTGTTCGAATTGTCAAATCCCTCGTCATATACCTCCGCGTTTAGGTCCTTCCCTTGGATTTTCAACTTCTCCATTGGTAAATATACAAATAGCATGCGACACCATTCTGTGCTACTTCGGTTCCGGAAAGAGTGTGCAGTGCCCCTTTGCACACTCACATCGCCACGACCCATACGTCGACTCGCACCTGAGTCCAGTACGAGATCAACCTCCCCCTCAATTATCACCCCATAATCAACACTCACTGTCCGATGCATTGGCGTCGCCTTTCCCGGACGGAGATCAATCAGACGGAAAACGGTTCCGTTATCGACTGTGATTCCGGGAGGTTGATGTAGAAACTCGTCGTACATGGCGACGTCTGCCTCGGCGTCAACCGAGGCTGGCACACTAGTCGTAGCGTATAGGAGGGCAATCTCGCCGTCGTCCCCGGTCGGCATCGATGGGAGGTAGTCCGGAACTTGAGCATGGGAAAGAAATACTGATTCGCCCTCTGTATTGTGGGTGGTGATGTAGCGGCGGATATAGGGGAGGGGGTTCTTTTTGTAAGGGCACATAATGGGGTGATAAAGATGGCATTTGATGAAGAGAAAAGTTTTATTAGGTCAGATATTCATTAAAGGTCGGGAGTCTGGAGTTAGGAAGTTGTAAATATATGCGTGACGAAATGTTCTCACATCATGGTGGCATCATTTTATAGATCAATTCACAAGTAGGATTAAGCATGATTCTGTTCCAAGGTCGAGCGAAAGTCGAATTGCCACACACGATGTATTCTATTAGAATGCATGGCCCTTCGTTATCATCTGCCCAAATTTGGTGTTCAAATGATTCTCTAACATGCGTTTATGCCCATCCGATACCTTCATCTTGTCCTTCATGCTACTAGCCAAGTTCTCAATGCACTCATCCAGGCTAGGGCCTCCCTCAAATGTCTCATCGTGCTTTTTAGCAGCAACTGCTTCCTTCCAGACATTATCCAAGTCCTCTCCCCACCCAAGTGCATCAGCTAATTGACGAACACCGTCGTCGCAACTTCCGAGGATGCACACATCCTCGTCTCGATTACCCAGATCTCCTGCTTTTTCATTGTTGATCAAAACCCGAGGAATCCCCTCTTTCACTAGCCTTGGCAGCCTAGAGCAAGGTGCCACACGCAAACTAGTTCCCATGACAAACATCAAGTCCGCCTCGAGGACTTCTTTCTCCTTTTCGTCAAACTCAGCCGGCAGAGACTGCCCAAAGAATACAACGTTTGGCTTGACCGCACCCCCGCACAAGGTCTCAAGACAATAGGGCACTTCACCAGCTCGAATGGCTTTGTTCATGAGATCGTCGGGATATGGCGACTTGCACTTATAGCAATGTTGACTCTTCCAATTTCCATGAGCCCAGAGAACCTTATCTGGAGGAACCCCAGCATCTTGCTCAAGCCCATCGATATTTTGAGTGAAAAGGAAATGGAGCAAATTCTTCTTCGCTAGCAGTGCCAGGAACGCATGGGTGACAGTCGGTTTGAGATTTCCCGGGTGACGTGCCCGGGCGATTGCGTAAAATGGCTCAGGCGTGTGAGAGAAATAATTGATGTGAAAGACCGCCTCTGGGTATGGGAGCCGCAGTGGAGCGAGCTTATCATAAAGGCCTGTGTTCGGAGATCTGAAATCTGGGATCCCGGCGCCAGTACTGATACCAGCGCCAGTCAAGACGACAATACGGTTGGCTTTCCCAGTCTTGATACGGTCGACGATTGATTTGATGTCGGGTTTCAAACCAGCATTTATATGACGCGAGGTCTTGTCGGACATAACTTGAGTTCTTCGAGTTTGGGTATTGTTTGATCTCGGTGTTGGATGAAAGTCAATGATTGTTTTGATTTTAGAGAATCAAAACAGAGGGGTTCCTGTGGGCGCCTTACTGCCTCAGGTTGCAAGGCAGAGCCTCCTGGTTAACTGCATAATCATACATGTCATGTGTTCATTGTCCAATTAGCCTGACAGGAGAAATCATCTGTTATTATTACTCGCTTGGAAAAGCAACATTTGTCAACTCTGTGAGCAAGTCTGTCCAGTCTGGCGTATTCAGCTCAACATTAGCGCTGCTCTCTAACATCTCCACCCAGATGTCTTCAAGAGGTAATGGATTAAGCAATGCATCTGCTGAAGAATTAACCGTCGATGTATCATGAGGAATTTCGGATGTGATGCTCTTGGAACCCAACGAAATAGGAGTGTGGATATCCGGCTGTGGCGGGTTGACTGTTGTGGCATTTGAATTCGAAGATGTAGAGAGCTCCTGTAAGTCGCGAGAGCTTACTCTTTTTTCGTGCTTCCAATGCCTTCGTAAGATCTCCATCATGGCCTTGATTCCTTCACATGCGATGGGCGAGGATTTTTGTGCCCGGCTGAGCATTCGACAAGCGTCAAGTACTTCCTCCTTTCGCTTCTCGGCCAGAATGTCATCCCAGTTGAAACACACATCTATCAGAAGAATGGCAGCTGCCATAAACACATGGTGCATGACCGCCCATACAACCGAGCTGTGCGGTGCGAACACAGGCTCTTCCTCATCCATAATGCGTTTCACTTCGAGCACCTTGCGCGCAGATTGAAGAGATATGACATGCGAATAGGAATATTTGGGATCCTTTGCTCCACGCACAAAGTAGTGGCGGTGCAAGCGACAGAATCGTGAATGGTAACCCTGTTGTATCAGAGCTCGCTGCCATGCAAGAGTCGGTCGCTCACGATAGACCACTGAGTATTCGCGCTGGGAGGCTTGATCAAAGCGAAAGAAACAGGGAATCTCAGCGCCTGCCTTCTGGAGCTTTTGATCGAGCTCGAGTATCTTCTCATAGGGTACCTCTTGTCCATGGAAATGGTAGTATGACGTTTCGTCCACTATTTGGCGACACACAACAGCCAACCTCAATCGACACAGACTGTATGACATTGCAGTTGGAGTAGACAGAGGAACACCGTTCTCACTATGGTCAATTTCCTCATCCTCAACATTGAGAGGCTCTCGTACAACCATATGCTGAGGTTGGATCGAGTACGTCCATTCTTGGGGTCCGCTCAGGAAGCCTATTAACCTTCAGATATCATCAGTTATAGTACCGACGAGACCTCTTCCTAACAACGTACCAGTCGTATGCTGCCAGGTCCCACCACAACCGTCGTTTGAGTTCAACATTGGTTTTATCAAATCCGTTTGCCAAGCGTTCGGCCGTAGCCCGAGGACTGTCCACAATATGAAGCCCCATACTAGTGGCTTGACTCACAAATGATCTATGCACAAATAACGGGTTGACGGAGGAGGGCAAGTTCATGTTGGACAAATGATGGCCAATGATCATAGTCGCTTGCAGTCCTTCGAGGGTCGGATAGGGGATATAATTGCTCTGGATCAATGCTGCCCCTGCCAGAAATGTGCTTTCCTGGCTGAATGGTTCTGCGCGCTCGGATGACTCTGTTAGGAGTTGGTAATACAGGGCGGCAGCAGTGATACTAAATAGCAGCGCAGTGTGCGCCAGATTGATAGACTGATTTCGTGCAACATGCTCGTAAATTGTCTCAATCTGTCGTTCCACGCGACTGGGTATGATGAGATGATACTGGAAGTCAAGGTATTTACAATAATACTGAAATAGACTCAGGGCTTCTGCTACCGGTGGCAGATACAATGGCAGATGGATAGTCGCCGGATTCTCGCGGGAGGCGAGCCGTTCGCGTGTTGGAGGAAATCGAACACCGCGTGTGGTATTTTGCTGTGAAGGCGAGCGCTCGGGTTCCCGGCGCTGGGAGAGCTCCGCCCTTAGCGTGGCAGGGACTGCACTCGGGACGCGGTGTCCCATAACAATCGTCTCAAGCCAATCGGCCGTCAAAAGGGGCTCATTTCGATTGCGGCCTTGTGTCTCCATGTCCTGTCGTGGAGTCAACTGCAAGGTCCGAGGTGGCTCAGACACGCGATCGTCCAACATGGGCCTCCGATATGTTTGGCTCATGGGTTGTACAGGCGTTGTCCCCGAGCTGTAGCCGCCATAGCTGCACTCCAATTTTCGCGCAGAGCAGCTACTGCATGGGAGCTCCCTGTTGCACTTGAGCTTCTTCTTTCGACAGGACTCGCAGGAAACGGGGTCTTGTCGAGACTGTCTCTTGGAGCCTGGGGTGGTGACTCCAGCATCCGGCCTTCGTTTCATATTGTCAATTTTTCTGAAATGGTTCAAACTTAGTTGGAACAGCAAAAGCGAACAAACTGCGCGATCATCGATTGTTTTGCGCAGGAGCAGATGTCCGTACGGAGCTTCCGCGGACTCTCCGAGACGCTAAACCACATCCGGCAATTCTTCCTCCGGGCATCTACGCAGTAGCCTGGAGACTCCGAGCGCAATTCTTTTACCACGCAGGTGTAATTAATCGGATTTCTTATAAAGACCATGGCACTACGCAGTAATTTTGCGCAAACCAGAGCCATTGCACTTTTAGATAGGTCTGCTCATTTCCCCGGCCTTGAGATTCCCATTGACCGGCAAAATGTCACCGAAGGATAATCCTCCAACTGAATACACGTATGTGAAATATCCCTAAAACTGCAATATATCTGACTGCTGACTCTTCGAGACACCGGGCATGGTTTGTCATATTCGGCGCCTTTGCATGTGCCTTTTGCACGGTGGGCTTTATGAACTCGTTCGGTATATTCCAAGAGTACTACGCAAAGAATCAGCTGTCCTCAAGTTCCACATCTACCATCGCATGGATCGGGGCTATAGCAATATTCCTTTTGTTTGCTATATCTGCTGGGGCGGGAGCAATACTCGATATTTTTGGACCTACAGTAAGGATACTCTTCGTGGATCATTGGGAAAGAAACTAACACTCCCTTTGAACAGCTCATGGTATATGTTGGCTCATTCGGGTGTGTCTTTGCACTTATGATGACTTCACTATGCCAGGAGTTCTATCAATTCCTACTCGCTCAGGGTGTAGTGTTGGGTATTTCGATGGGTCTGACGACATGGCCAATGCTAGCATTGGTCGGACAATACATCAAAGCGAAGCGTGCTGCAGCGATGGGGATTGTGATGGCGGGTTCGTCGCTCGGCGGAGTTATCTGGCCCATTGCAATTGACAGATTGCTCGATGATCCCAACATCGGGTTTCCCTGGACCATGCGAATTGTCGGCTTTATCATGATCCCTTGCTTCATTTTCTCTTGCGCGGTCGCCAAATCTCCGAAGAAAGCTACAATAAATGTGGACAGTCGCGATTCAAATCGGGCAACTGACGAAAATACCACAGCACAAAAAGAAACGCCCCAAAGTCACAAGGCAGAGGCCCTGGCCCTTTGGCGAAAGCCATCGCTGCAGCTACTGTGCCTCGCTATGTTCATCACATACTTTGGCATGTTCGCGCCGTTCTTCTATACGACTTCCTATGCGGTTGAGAAAGGATTCTCGACATCCCTAGCTTTCTATACTGTTTCCATTGTGAACGGCGCTTCGTTCTTCGGTCGAGTCCTCCCTGGCATCATTGCTGATAAGTACGGAAAATTCAATTGTTGCATAATAGCCACGATGATCTCTGGGATTGTTGCATTCTGCTGGACCAAGGTGACGTCTGTGGCCGGTCTGGTAATATGGTCCGCTGCATACGGCTTTTCGTCTGGAGTGAGTTACACTCAAGTGGTAATAAACTTCGAATACTAACAAGATTTGTAGGGCATCTTATCCCTCCAGCAAGCCTGTGCTGCCCAGCTTGCTACTTCTACCACTCTAGGATTGGCGATCGGATCTGTGTCAGGTTCCACGGCTCTATCGTATGATCTCCCATTCCTTGAAAAGATAACGTGAGGTGCTGACACAAACTCCAGTGCTATGGCTAATGTACCTATCAGTGGTGCTCTAGTTGAAAGATATGGGTATTTTTCCCTGTCAATGTTTTCAGGGGTATCCTTGCTCCTAGGTGGTGTCCTTTTGATTGCTGCGCGTCTGTCCCAGGACAGGCAGCTTCTAGCTATCGTCTAATGTTTGTCCGCCAGGGCAAATTTTTGTTCTTCTATTCTGCCTTCCAGTCTATTCTCCCAAGGACGGACTTAACATAAGAAGTTAGTCTGCTAGCGGTACCAGCCCTTAGGGGGCTGCAATATCTCTCGGAGATGACTGGCTCGAAGATGTCTCCTTGGATATAGATTCCCTGTATATTAGAAAGTTGATTTCTGGGGCCGAATGTAATAAGGATTCCCTATTTTTGTCAGCTTAGTTGGCCGAGCAAGTGAGAATAACCTCAAGTTTGACGCCTGAAAGCTCGCAGCCTAGAATTTCCTCACTGCTCTGATCATTTTTACTGCGCGAGCCACCTAAGATTAGAACCTCTTAAAATACCAATTACTTGCGAATACATCTTTTTCTATGCACCATCTATCAAGTCGGTTCGTGTATTTTGCAGTTGTGGTGCAATTCTGAAGACAGCCCAAAATAGATTCTCATTTATTGCCAATGTGGCACTTGGGCAATTGGCTGCTCCAAACGGTGAGACTTTGATTTCGGGGCTAGAATTTCACCCATATATACATATAAAAAAGCCAAGTTCCAACATTCGCAAGGGGCGTGTTTCAAAGAAAAGTGAAATCCTGTTTAACCCGAGGTAACGTGAAGAGGGCCGTTGCCGTCATCAACAGGGCAACCGTCGCTGTCGGAATCAAATTCAACGACACAGCTCGCATCCTGACCAATAGCGATGCCAATGAAAGTTGTATCCGTCTGTCCTTTGGCGCTACCGAGGCTGTTTCCATCACCGTCCTTGACCTCGCAGGTGTCAGGGTGGCCTCCAAAGTCTGACTTGCACTTAAACTTGCGTGGGGTTGCCCAGCAGTCGCCCTCAATGGTGAACTCGCGGCCGTCGCCAGTGTTATAACAGGGAGAGTGGTTATCAGGATAGGCCTGGTCGTAAACAGCCTCACCAGCCTCATTTAGAATCGCAAAGCCTTTGTAGTGGCCGTTCGTGTTGCCGCCGGCAGGACCGGAAATCGTTGAAAAGTCTCCACTCGACCAGACCACCTTCAAGCGCTCGGCGTAGACGGTTGTAGAGGTAGCCATTAGGCAAACAAGAATGCTGCGGAGAGAAGGCATGGTTAAGTCGTAGAAATTGAGCTTTCAGGATGGAGGATATCCGAGGGTCTGTTGTTCTTGGTGTTCTTCCCTTGTGGTGGCATTCAAGGGCCTTTTATACTTGCCCCGAGTTGCCCTCACGCCCCTGGAAGATCCTTCTATGCTCAGTCAAATTACCTCATGAGATGATCTACGGTGTTTTGTGCCACTGACCATATTCCAAATGAGGAAGTCTCAACGAAATATCTGGCATTGATACCTGTCGATCACGCAACGTTGGAAGGCGCTGATAGCTGTCTGCCTTGACTGGCAGATTGTGGGAAAGGACACACGGAACATGTCGCAGAAACATATAGCGTACACCTTTGAACAGAGTTATCCTATTGGCGCCACACGTTGGGGGCTTAAATGTGGAGTTAAGCCATGCAGGTCTGGACTGCAGATCGTCGAGCTGAGGTGGATAATTGTACAATTCGTGGCTGCTAACAGCATGATCTACATAGTCATTCTGCATGGACTCTTCAATGATGATCTCGCCCCCAAAAATGTCAGCACTAATGCACACTAGAAGCAGGGCCAAGCCCGGTTTTACTGGCTTCTTCTAAATGAAGTAGTCCTGCCATGACGTTATTCGCTGATCCCGTTACATTCCTGTTCAATATTCTCTAAATGCCAATGGTATCAGCCAAAATGGCTTTCTTCAAAGCCTGAACGGTTGAACTGCTGCGTCAATATAGACTATGTCTTACATCTCCATGCATCTAAACACAGCAATAGCCAGCGATAGTTACAGTCAGAGGGATGGTAAACGATTTCGTTTATCCTAACCGGTCGCCGGTGCGATTTATAAGCTACTACAACTATCCATGAATATATATTCATCACTCGCTAAACATAGAGGAGCACTCTGTACGGTTTACGCCTATATCCCAGATATTAGTCTACCTTCGTTTCTATATTATCGTTTTAAAGGTTAGAACATTGAGAAGGAAAGATACTTATTTGAGAAGCGATCTAAAAGAACACCCCAAGACACACTACCTTGGGCCAAATAGACCAGATTATTGAAACCTTATGCGAGTCAAGGACAGAGGCCGCACGAGCGGCCCACTCTTGACAGTACGTATATATATAAATTGTATCACTTCTTGGAAGAACAAACACTCTCACCGAGGCCATTCAGCAACGGGTTCCATTCACTGTCTTTGTGGCCAGGCGTCATACAGTCCCTCAAAGACAGTCACGTCGCCAAATGTCGCTTCTCCAACTCCGTTGTGGAAGAAGTCAATTCCAGTCGAGTTGGCGTACCAAGACCTGCATTCCGTTAGTTGTTGACTAGTCTCCTAGACACAAGATAGACTTACCGAGCCCAAGTGCCTAGGGCAAAGCGTCCATTGGCATAAATTTCCAGTACTCCATTGTCCACCACGACGGTGAGCTCCAATGTCTCAATTTTTTCTTTTCCATTTTCCAAGACGTCAAAAAGGCGCAGACGACCCGCCTCGTTGTCACTGAGAATTCCGTCAGTCGTTTTGGACGCGGCACTTGTGTTGCTGCGGTCGACGATGATTGACTCGTTGGAGAATTGGTAGTAAATAGTTGTGGATTCATGACCGGAGGCCAAGACCTGGAAGCCAGCTTGGATACCAGAGTCACGAGCAGAGGCGGGAAAAGAGATGTTCGCGGTCATAGCGAAGAACTTGCTTGAGGGCGAGGTGTTGAATGGCACCGAGCCAGCCTTTGACAAAGTCTTACCGGACTCGACGAAAGATGAGCCGGATGTGAGAGCGCTGTAAGTCTCCCTGGCAATTGAAATTCCCATTGTTTCAAGGTCGACTTGACCAGCGCTTTCGCGGGCCACGCGCCACGATGTCAACGACTCACGCGCAAGTTTGTTGTCCACCACATTGGGGATAGTGCGAACGTTCAGCTCCCGCGGTAGCATGAGAGCACCGGTCCAGTTTTGTTGAGCGGTAGGGAATCCCTTCGCTAGCTCAAACAGATCTGCAGTGAGCCAAACGTAGGAAATAAAACGATCGGGGGCACCGCTCTTTTTGGATGCCTGAGAGCTGGCCGGCAAGATCTTGCCTGCAGCAGCATACCCGGAGAGGCCCCAGTCAAGCACACCCGCCATGGTTGGCTTGAAGGTGACGGAGCCGTCATTTGTGACATTTCCGGTGACCCACAGCATATCGTGAATTGAAGAGACCTGAGGAATGATGGGGAGGTCCGAACCCTCGGTACCGAGAGTCATGAAGATTTCGCCATTCTCGCTGTACCCCTCTGCATTCAAGCTGAAGATATTGCCAACCTCAAAGTTGAAGCCCCATCCTCCAGCCCAGTCACCTTTGCCCCAAGTGGTGTTGACGGGCTCATTCCACCATTGGCCGAGGTATTCCCAATATTGGAAATCTGCGTCATGCTGACGGTAGAGGAAGGAGCAAGGTCCGACGTCGTGGACACCACCAGAGATGGCGACATACCACGTCCCTTCAGTGCTGTTGACAGATTTGTCCAGAATCGGACTCTGGAAAGCGTAGGGGTCACGGAAAGCGGTGACGTTGACGGCAAACGGAGGGGCGGGGATCATGGGGCCTTGGTTGAGCTTGGTGAAGTTGCGTCCACCGTCATAGGAAACGGCCAAGGATTGTGTCTCGCTTCCCCGTGTGTAGGGGATGGACCAGTGAATTGGGAGATACGAGACAGAGGTATATAGAAGAGTGGGCATACCGTCGATACCGCTTGGAATGACGGACCCATCAAAAACAGCAAGAGGGTCGTTCTTTCCTCCCGCGATGATCGATGGGCCCCCATCCGGGTTAACGTCCTTATAGGTAACGAGATCATCGGTTGTAGCTCCCGAAATTCCATCGTGAAGCCAACCCACGTGGAAGAGACCAGTCTTCGGATCGGTGTAATGTCCGCATGGATCACCTATCTTGCCGGATGGGGGCAGGAGGTGGGCTCTGGGTCTCCATGTGTCGAAAAGGGATGCATTTGACAAGGTAGAAAGGTTTGGGGGAGCCGAGTTATAGTCGATTTGGGATTTATGGGGATTGGCAGCCAATGCCTGGTGGGCCAAACCCACGGTGACTGCAGTTGACAGCTTCATGGCGTAGCTCTTGGATAGCTTCCTGAGCTTTCCCCGGGATATCCACACTTTTATATGTCTATCTTGTAATATGCCCAGGATAAATTGACCGAGATTTGATGGAGACAGGAGCCAATAGAAATAGCATCTCGATTAGTATGGATCGAGTTGCGATGTTCATTTCCTCTTTGGATGTTGTCGGCAGATTGCATGAGCCAACGGTAAAACCACGGGGAAACCCCGGCTGACAGTTTCCCCGATGTAAACAAATATTACCCAATTAGGAAGTTCTATATGATTCTACTGAACTTGAGCGTTTTTAGTTCTAGGGGATATTTTCGATATACAAATAAGAGTTCTAAAGAATTAGATGCCGTGAAAGCCCTGGTACAAGTTGACGGTTGGCTTTGGGCATTAACAGACTGGTAGTTGCCTGGTAGGTGTCTGGAGGATAGACCTTGAGGCCGAGCTTCCCTACTGCAGATGGCATCCACGATGCCTTAAGGCATTAATCGCGCATCATAAAGTCCCACATTCAATGACCATGAAGCGTTCCCGTGGTTCTGGCGCTGAGATTCAATTGGACATTTATTTGACTTTCTCTCATAACCAAAGGAAATTGCCCTAGGTACGACTGGTGGAGAGGTACTATGTCTTTATTTATACGGTAACTTGTTGGGCCAGTGGTGGTATTGGCTCGTTTTTACATCTCATTGTCTTTTGGCGGAAGCATCAAGTCCCACAGGTTCAAACTGTTCTCTGACACGGTCGAATCGCAAGACACTTTCGACGCCTGTTGTGCACTTGAAGGATCGTAAAATGCGACTCCCTGTGTTGCCCTCACTAGGCTATTTCTACTCCATCAGATTTCGTGTAAATAATTTCGGAATATGTTCACTGCCGCAAGTAGCAACGTTCAAACTGGTCCGCTGGCGTGCGTCCTCGGCCATAGGATCAAGTCCCAGACTCATCAGAATCTTGAATCGTCGGACAACACTGTCTGGGAATTGTGCGCGATGCCTGTGACCTGCCTTCTTAGAGGCCAATAAATGGAGCAATGAGGAGCTGGCATTGCCTTTTGCGGAGAAGTCAGCTCCAGCTTCTTCAAAAAGGTCGAAGACGGTCTCGGTGAGGTCATCCTCCTTCTCGCCAAACCGTAATCCCACCTGCCGTTGGGAGCAACCACGCCATGCTCTATATATTTGAAGAGAGGTGTGTCGCTTTGTAGTTCCGAGAGTTGATACCCACACCCGCTTCCAGGAATCGCTTGAAGTGAGCCTGCGACTTATCCTTTCTCAGGTACTCAGCCAAATCATGAAGCGCCGTGTTTCGATGGGCGTCATTCGACGGGCGCCACTACCCTAGTTCAACCAAAGCGTGCATGAACTCACCATTCCCCTGATCCATCTCATCCAAGGCATCTGTGATACAGTAAACCTTGGGCAATGCGGCCAGTACCAGTTTAAAGTCTTTCCAGATGTCGCTGTGGGCCAAGGTATCAAAACCACGTTCTTCGTCAATGTAATTCTTCAGCTTAACTTGCAGGGTAGGGCTGTAATCCAAGAGCTGAGATAACCAACTCCGCAGCGCGGCCATTGGCTGATGGTTGGCATCTATGACTTGTTGGAAAAAGAAAAAGATGGCTGGGATAGCATCCTTTCGTAATTGATTGACGATTGAAGCTGTTTGGACAGACTTGCCGGAGCCTGGAATACCTTTGACCTACAACAGGCCATTTTCGTCGCCCTGATGCCACTGTCGATAGGTTGTTGTAGAGGTGAACCATTTTCCTGTTCCTGCAAGATGTGAAGTGCGATGTCTAGAGCACTTCGCTCCAGGTCATATGCGGTTGGCTGAAGCCATTTTTTGATCTCAACGATGTCGGTGGCACGGAGGGGAAGGATTCTGTCCACGTTGAAGTCAGGAACATCGTCTAGGCCAACCAGTATCGGATCATTTCCGTCGGAGGGTGAAGAGGACATAACTTTTAACGTCCACTTGTGAACGTTTGTATAAGTTAAGCAGTGAACACGAAGGGGGTTGAGCCCAGCCTTAGCTTGGGATTTTCGGCTAACTAGCTCACTTTATAGCCTTGTGAGGCAGAATGCATAGCTATGCTCCGTGGCTAAGGTGTATGTCCACAGGTATCTGGCACCTGCTACGACTGTGACGAGCGTGACCGGGCGAGGGCATGATAGCGGCAAAATTGGGGCCCGATATGGCGGGACATGCCGTATTTGGTTGAGCAGTCGCCTAGGTTAGATTTTCACGTGGCAGAAAATCAGTCGAAAATGCAAAATTGGATAGACATCATGGATTTGGTTCAGCTGTTGAGAGAGAGGGGGAGAGAGGAAAAGGAAGACCAATAGTGGGGACCGTCCACGGGTGGACGATCCTATCCGCCTTGGGCATAAAGGCTGGCTCAACATGGACATCTATAGATCGATCGTACTGTTCAATTTGGTTTAGTCCCATACTTAGAACAATATATACATGGTCATTTTCAAAATATCCTAACAGGCAAGCATAACCCCAAAGCATCAAAAACTAGCATCCTTCCGTTCAGGGATCCATATACACATTCAATCATAAGACAAACCAACAACACTAAATCTTATCCGAAGAGTACAAACGAATAGGCACGCCAAGATCATGCGACATTGTTAGATTCGACAGTTTAATAGGCTCCTGTCGGGGATGGGGGTCCGCGTTTTCGAGGGTATCGAAATGCTGCATTAGACGAACAACGGTGTAGCTTGCCTCAGTGAGAGCGTATTGTTCTAAGGGTTGATTGTTAGCCGGTCATCCAGGGTGATCTTCAACTTAATCTCCGATGAGGGAGACGAGGATATGCACAACTTACGGCCAAGACAGATGCGCGGCCCGCCATTGAAAGGAAGGTATTCCCAGCCATGCTTCGCATTTTCCTCCCAGCGCTCGGGCCGGAAGGAAGTCGCGTCCTTGCCCCACAGGTCCGTCCGACGGTGCATAGCGTAGACGCTGTAGGCAACCATCGTGCCCTTCTTGATATAGACCGGGGATTGGCAGTCCGCGCCACCGCCGACCGGTAGGGAGGTGTCTTTTGTCGAGACGCGGAAGTTGACAGGCACGGGAGGCTGGAGACGAAGGACTGGGCAGGAGTAAGTCGGATATCCATTGATAGAGTATACAGTATGCACTGCAAGAGCGACTCACCTTCGTTCAAGACGTATCGCAGATAGGGAATATCCTTCAGCTTGGTCTGAGTCATTTCCGACCGGGGATTCTTCGCATCTCCGAACACCTCCACGATCTCGCGGCGCAGCCGGTTCCACACATTAGGGTGACGGGAAAGGTAGAAGAACGTCGAGCTCAGCAGACTAGCTGTGGTATCGCGACCAGCCAATAGAATATTGAGCATGTTGTCGCGTAGCATTTTGGGATCGTCGGTGTCGGCCGCCAGTGCTTCGAGGAAGATATACCGAGCATCGTTCTTCTCTTCGGGGTTACGTTTCGACTCGAGGGCGAGATTGACATAATGATCGACGACTTCGTGCACCTGTCGGCTTGCCTCGCGGAATTCCTTAGGATTGACAACCCAATACAGACCTTGGGCGCGACTCCGTGCGGCGAGATAATCCTGAGCGGTTCCGAAGGCGTTGGCGAAACCCTGTGCGCTACCGACGGCGCATTTTTCCAAGACGCCTGTCTTCCCCGAAGGGGGAAGCATGCACTCGACCGATTCCCCGAATAGGAAATGCGTTGCCGAGTCCAGAGTCAGCAGGAAAAACAAACGCTGGATGTCGAAACTGCTCCTGTCCTTGGGGATTAGGTCAATCAAGTTGGAGATGTGGTCATCCAACATGGAAAGATCGGCGACCTGTATCTTGTGTCAATGGTATGTCGTGCATAAATTCTCCGACAAAGTTTACCTGGTCCCTGGTGAACTGCGGACGCAATAATCCGCGGGCATGAGACCACCCCGCACCATCGAGAGTGAAAATGCCATCGCCCAGGAGTGGGTCGAATTGCTGGTGTCTTGTTCCAAGAGAAAAATCCTTGAATTGGGTAGCGAGAATTGCCTTGATATTTTCAGGCTCGATAGTGGTTATTAGATTGCGAGTGAGGAATGTCTGGCGGTAGGTATTTCCATAGACAGCATATTCGTTGTAGAGATGTTCGATCCAGCGCTTTTCGCGGACAGCCTTGGTCAACCGAAGAAAACCTGGAATACCGAAGAATGCCGAGGAGCCAGAACGTGCAGGCTTGCAGTGTAGGGCTTTGGATTGTTTACGGTGGCGGTGTAGCTGTGCGAAGTAGCGTACGACCAGGAAGGCCACAGACAGCGCACCAACCAAGGTAACTGTAGGGCTGAACAACATTTTTTCTTTTTTTTTATTGTATCTTCATGAATTGAAGGGAAAAAGCAATTAAATATGTGAAATGGAAATCTACTTCACAAGATGCTATATGTCCGCCTCGGTCAAGCTCCATGTGAGAAAAAGCGGGAGATCGCAAGCTGATACGAAAGGGGAATAGTGAAAAATGGGAAATCAAAGTCAAAATGAGTCACCGACCAGGTCGATCCCTTGGATATATTCCAAGGTTTAACGAGTCTTGGCTTTGAAACATCCAAGCCATTCTTTCAGAGCCGTTTGGAAGTATCCCCGGGAAATCGCCCCAGGTACAAAGCTCGTGCGGAAATCAAAGCAATGCTCCGCATTCTGCATGATGTAGCCGAAGATCGTGTTTTCGTCGGTCTCCACATTGCAATTGGGGATCTCTGTCGTGAGAGACACACCCTGTGGGGCTAACCGTGTGCCCGCCGCGAGGGGAGACAAAGTACGCCACGGATCAAACTGGCCGCCGCTCCAGTAAACATTGGACGGACGAATAGTCCACCCGCCGGTCTCCGCATTGGTCGCCTCGGTCTGCGGGTGTTTGGGGAACAGACCCTTCTCGATAGCCTCCGGGAAGAATCTGTTGCAGACTTCCTGCGCATATTCGAGTGTCTGGTATTTTGACAGAAGCGAGTGAGGTCCGAAGTTGTTAGTCTGGAAATAGCCCCATTCGGTGCAGTACTGCCATGTCCAGCTGATGGTGTCCGGGTCGATGGACGGCGGCGACAGATCACACTCAAGCGGTGCGCTGGTTTCAAGCTTCTTGCAGTTGGTCTCCATATACATATTGACTAGCTGCGTGAAAGCCGGCCATGATGCGTATCGCTCCGCGGCGTACTTCTTCCCCCGGGTTGGGGCGAATCCTTGTGCAGGGGCCGCTGCGCTAGTCTTCGGGTCTGTCTCCATGTGCTCGCAGAATGACTCCAGACTGCCCACACCACCTCCCATGCCATAAGATTGGAAAAAGTTGTAAACTGATGCGAGCGCGGCGGTGAAATCGCCGTTGCTGTTTTCCTCAGCGCCTTCGCCGAAGAATTTCCGCTTGATGGCCGCTGCGGACGATTCGCTCTTCGAGAGTTGCTCGTCGATGTACTCCAGAGCAGCCTTGATATCCCTGGTGCAGTTCAAGTGTCCATATGTAACCATGCCATCATACACCTGGTCGAAATAGACACTCATGTCGATTCGTGCTTCGACGGGGGCGGAGGAAGCGAAGGAAGCGTAAATTGTATCAGGATACTCATGACGGGTGAACGCCGCTCGCATGCCAGAGTACGAGCCTCCGACCATGACCCATGGTGTTCCGTCTGGGGTCAGGTCCACATCACTGTGATCTCTGCGAGTGAATTTGGCCGCAAAGGACGGTATGTCTGCCAGAGCCTGTTTATTGTTAAGGTACTGGAGATGCTCAGGCTCCACGTTCCGGCTGACGTTGTAGGGAAGAGAATCCCCATAGTACCTACTCGACGTTAATTGAACCCGAACTTTCACTTGGGAGAGGACACTAACCGGTGCTCCCAAACGATACCAATTCCACCGAAATCTTTGACCAACTGATAAAAGAACGAGGTGGAGTTGCTCAGAGAGGTTTGAGCTGAAGCCTCGGCGGTCGACTCGCCAACATCATACACGAAGACCGGTCCTCCCTCCTTGTAATGCTCTTCGGATACCCAATAGCGGTTCCAGTAGTGACCAAGTGAAGAGTTGCTGTGGTCAATCGGGAGCTACAAATTGTCAGCATTGATCACCGTCTTCCACGAACTTGAGAAACCTGGACACATACCGAAGCATATTCTGCCTTAATGGTCACATCAAGCTGGGAATTTGTAACATCATGCACCGAAGTCTTTTGACCGAGCAGGATATCCGGATGGATCCCCAGCTCAGCGGAAAGCTTCAGATCGCGCTTGAACTGCGATGTCACAATCCCTGCAGCTGTACCGGACAGCGCAGCCAGAATGGCAGTCCCCCTAACCACAGTAGAAAAATGCATATTGACAGTGCCTTGGGAGTCTCTCAAAAACCCAAGCTAGGACACAAGGATGCAGAACGGCTTTTGATTATCTCCACTGCTGGGTCCCTTACGGAATATATATGCATTACAGAGATAGGTAACCGTTGGGGAAATGGGTAAATCAAATCAAGATACATTGGGTTACGAGAACAATACGATAAGGACAATATGGTTGCGTTTGTGACAAGGCTGCAGTCATCTGGAACATCAGATGCATTGTGGATTCGGATCCGATAGGATCAGCGGTCAGTGGACACAATCAGGCACTCCCGAGGCGCCATCGCGTGCGGCCAGTAGTGACACTGAATGACCGGGGATGAGAGGTGACAGAGTCTAATTTCTGGGGACATTTGGAGTTGAATGTAACCTACCTAGCACGACTTGAGATGTATGTCTCGAATTAATTAGACAGTTACCATAATTACCACCCGTTTTTTTAATGTTGTCGAATCGTTTCCTGCGGACTATTAATTGTGCATTGCATTAGTGATGTAGTACTTTCTGCTAGCTCAATATTGACTATCACTTCCGGATTAGGCAGGAATGCGATCGACAGATTTAGCCATGAAATTCTGAGATCGGTACTAGTACTCCGTAGTGTTTATCGAATTCGACTGTGTTATCTTGAGACTGAGAAACACACTTCCGCATCTGGTTCTACCTAAAAACAGGCACCACGCGATGTCCTTAACCTGGTGGATCCCAAAACCGGGTGTGAAATTGAAGTCGATCATTGGCCGTTGGGGAAAAGCAACGGTCAACCGGACTCCGAACAATAGCCGGAGCTTAGGTATTGTTGTGAGCTAATTGTTTAATTAGCTTTCCTATTTCTCTGCCTCAATTCATGACATTATCTTGTCTCGGGGTCTGCTCGGAATCATGCCTGGAAACGGGAGTTGTGGAATGTTGATCTGGAATGTCTACGCCAGGAAAGAGCTCCAATTTTGTACTCGTAGAAACACACATCAATGTGGCTTGAATTGACATCGAAGAATTTATTCCACGCGCTTTTCTTTGGGGTTCCGGGACCCCTCAACTGTCTTTTTCCCCTCTTTTCCTCTTTCCTTTTTTCCTTCTTCAAGTCATCATGTGACACGAGGGACCAGATGTCCAATTTTTCTTATCGAGTCGAGGTTGGATTCCCTTTCTAGAGACCTCTCATCATTATGTCCGGTTTCGGATCATTTAGAGCCCCGTACAGATGACAAGCTTTTCCCAACTGCCAATTGAATTGCTTCTTCTGGTGGCTAAATCTCTTTCCAACCAGAAAGACATTTCCGCTCGGTACGAATCAACTGGAGGCTATATCATCTTTTGCACCCATTTCTGTGTCCGTTTAGTGCTCAGCATCACCAAGGTGCTGGGCTTCTATCCGCGGCTAGAAATGGAAACTCGTCTCTTGTCAAAAGGTTCCTGCATGTTGATACCAACATCGCATCCTTTGAGCCACAGTTCGACGATGCCCATTTAGGCTACGAGCGCGAAACACAGCGCAATCTGCTTCTCCTAGCTACTCAAATGACCACATGGAGACTTTGAAGGTATTGCTTTCGGATGACCAAGCCGTATACAACTCCTCAAACATAGGATTCGCCCGAAATCCGATAACATCTTATGTCATATTGCTCATAGAAACGAATTGCCTCTCTCCAGCTTTTGGTCGATTTCGGGGTAGAGACCGCCGTTTATGGCCATGCGGCACTTTTCACGGCTATATCCTCGGGGCATCAAGCCACGGTCAAATCTCTGATTCAGCAAGGGGCAAATCCACACCTGTGCTGTGCACGTATACAGGGTGGCAATTATTCTACAATCGGACATGCGGTCCGATGTCGCGAGTTTAATATCCTAAAGCTCTGCTAGCTGATGGAGTTCGTCCAGATTATCAAGACCTCCAGCTTGCTCTCAGGCTGAAGTTTTCGGAAGCCGTCGCTATTCTGGAGCATCTCTCTTATGAGGAAGTTCCGGAGGAAATGACCTTCGAAAACTGTGTCCGACAACGAGAGGAGCAGCGGCTTGCGGATCCTGATTTCCACCGATGGGATGGGAGCCCTAGGTTGGCCTAGGTAGTCCCTATACTGAGGTGCATGGTCCTGATCCCGAGGTGATTGTTTGTTCGGGTATTGATGACGACGACATACATCTCGATGATGTTGACTTCAATGTATATCTTGATGGTGGTGATTATACTGTGTATTCTGAATGATAATGCAGTACTAGAATTTTCAAAGGGAAGCGCCCCGAACGAGGTGGGATCGACTGGACAGAGGCCGCATGATTCCAGGGCTAAGAAAAGGAATCACCCGCAATCCATCGTGTCAAAATGTCAAATGCCACGTCGCCACGATCCTGGGGAAGCTAAAAAAAACCCATTAGCAACTGCTCGGACTAACATGTCTGAATTGGTGAACTCACTAAATGACCCGCCCCATCAACCGTCACAAATGCAAACCGCGATGTCTCTGCCCGGCCGTCCAACTGCACACGCACCTCTTTCGCGGTGCCGACCGTTTCATTACGTCCCGCGACATTTGATGTCCAAGGAAGCAGCGGTTTCGATGTAAACTCAGTCTGTCCCTTCCACGCAAGCGAGTTAGCCCACCGCAGGTTTCCTGCCGTGTTGCAAGCTAGGTCAAGGTTTCCCTGGTAGGCCAGGAAATGCACCCCATGAGCAAGGAGGAAAATGATATGGTCGGATGAAGACGTCATCATCTCCGGCGTTGTTGCGAAGGCGTCAACAACGGCACTGGACTCGAGTCTGTACTCCTTAGCCCCTTCCGGTGGCGAGAGGGCCTCCCGGACCGTAGGGGAGTTCAGATACTGCTCAATATAAGCTGCTTCTTTGTAGCATATTTCATCGATGTAGCATGGGGCTGTGACTGTCGATTTCCTCGCGTTAGGTATGGGCCCTTGGTAGCAGATAGGATGGCCTTACTGTCGAAGCGGTTACGGCCTCCCTTCTTGCTCTCATCCTCGTACAAACCGATGACTCCTTTATAGCAAACGGAGTATGCAGCCGTACAGATTGCAAGGTCAGGACCATTAGCGCAAGTATCGTAGACTTCCATGCATCGCGGCATATTGGCAGCTATAATATCGCATCGTGTCTGGTTGAACACGGGCGTGGAAACGCCGGGATTGGTTGTGCAAAGCGTCTCCCAATACCCGAAGGTGATATCCTTAGATGACATGAAGCCATTACCTATCAGGCATGACTTAAGGTTGATCTGGGGCTCTGAAGGGTATTGCTGGTTATGAGTCACAATCTCAGCCCCGAGATAGGGGATGTATTTGCCCTAGAAGTGAAAAGTCAGCGGTGCGTACAAAGTGGCAAGGAGCAAGTCTTACTGCATAAGATTCACCGGAGAGATGGAAATCCGAGAAGCGTTTGTGGGGAAAGACATCAGATATAAGGATCTGGAGAAAGCGGTGCATGTCAACCGCGGCCTCTTGGGAATCCCGCGCAACCTTGTAGCCCTCGTCAATATAGGACCAGCCGACATCGGCTGGCTGGTCCACGAAAAGTAATGAGGAGTTTCGAGACCAACCCCATGGATTATAGACGGTCCCATTGCCATGCTCATTCACTAGACATGGCCCGTTTTCTTCGAATAGTCCCATCATACTAGAGCCCCCAGGCCCGCCATTCATCCACAGCGTTAGTGGATCGGCGATGGGATCATTCTGACTTTCGAAGTACCAGAAGAACAGGTGCTTCGGGCCAATATCTAGCCATCCTGTGTACTGTGCGGAGCCCGCGGCACAGATAGACTCATTTTGTTGTCGGATGCGTATCGAATGGGGTGAATTTGTACTTCGAAAGGTGCTGAAATTCGACGCCAAGGGCTCTGGTCGGAGCACAGTCTGCGAGGCATGGCTCACGCCGACTAGGGTAGAAAGCCAAAATTTCCTCATTTCAGTCATGAATGAGTATTTTCTAGAGAGAAGGACGACAATGGCAAAGCTGTTTTATAATGGCTATCAGTCAGCGTCACATTGAAAAGTCGGAGTTCGGAGTTCGGACCTAGCCAATATCTGCTAGTGCTAAGAGTGAAGGTTCCCCCTATCATTTCTCCCACGGCCACCACTCAGCGGTCTACGCCGTAAATTGATTTCCAAAACATCTCGCTTGTTTTGCCTCATGATTCTCCGAGCTGGCACAGTTCACAGTTCAGGTTGTGACAATTTAGGGGACGGAGAAGCCACGTTTAGATATAGTCAAAGAAGGCACGAGGGAGGAAGCAAAATCTTAGGAAGGGGGTTTGTTGTAATATTTAATCTTTATTGCGAGATAACGTTGGCTCTTCCAAGCTTGGAAGCACTTGAGGTTACCTAGGTACTACTGAGGTGGTAATAATAGTAACCTTACCTCTATCTCCGTCCCTTTATCCAAATGGGGTTAAGCTATTGTGGGTATGGTTAAATCCGACCAATTAGCACTCGCATAATACCAAGGTACCCGCTAGTACTCTATATACTAACCTCATATGGTTAGTGCGCTGTCATCATCAGCCGCATGCACGTGGGCACAAATATTGCTCTCGCGCGGACTTAAACACTCGGAACGGACTAAACTAATTATGAGTTACGTATATAATTGACATTTCTCCCTCGTAGTTTCTTTTTCGACCACTAAATCCAACAATTTCCAAAATGCATCTTATTCTCACAGGGGCAACCGGCCTAGTCGGGTCTTCAGTGCTCGACGCCATGCTCAGAAACACAGCAGTGTCCAAGATCTCGATCCTTAGCCGGAGCCCCGTGCGAATGGCAGAAGACGCAAAAGATTCACGTGTGCGAGTCATCACTCATACAGACTTTGAATCATTCAAGCCAGAGCTGCTCGATCAATTGAAAGATGCGGATGGATGTGTTTGGGCCTTAGGGACAAGCCAGACCAACGTCACCGAAGAGTGCGAGACTTCCCTTGCTTTGTTACATGGATATAAAAACTAACAATTAATAGACAATACGTTAAGATAACGAAGGATTACGCCCTGGCAGCTGCCAATGCGTTCTCCACAATTAAGCCATCAAACCATCCCTTCCGATTCATCTATGTATCTGGTGAAGGAGCCACTCAGACCCCTGGACGATTCTCACCAATATTTGCGAGGGTAAAGGGCAAGACTGAAAACCTTCTCGGGACGTTATCAGAGTTAAAGCCGAGCTTTCGAGTCGATAGCGTGAGACCTGCATTCGTTGATCCGGTGACGCACGATGCCATCAAACCATATATTCCGTCTAGTGGAGTGACTGGAATTGTCTCAAACCTTGGATTGGCTTTGCTTGCCCCGGGTATACGGTGCTTCATGAAGTCAATGCATTCTCCAACGGAGCACCTTGGGTCATTCTTGACGGAAATGGCGATGGGGCGCTATGAAGCAAAATTGGAGGGCCCGGGGGTATTCAAATTAGGAGGAAGTTATGTCGTTGGGAATACTGGTATGCGGAGAATTTTGGAGCTGTGAGCATCCAGTGGACTATTATGATCGAAACGGCTTGATATGGATGTATGGAGATGTTTTAATCATGTATTCTTGTGTAAAAAGACGTCCAAAAAGACTTCAAAGGATTGTATCAAAAAGGGTATGACCGAACCGCTTCAGCTGCCGACGATTCTTGTACAGTGTATAAATTTGAACGAACCGTATATTATTATTCCAGAGCCTTCCAATGAATATCTGTCAACTGTGGCGGAGTGAGCTCTGCCAATAAAAAAGAAACAAGAATTTAGCCCTTAATCACAACATCAGACCAGGGTGAACTTAACTCGAGGAAAGAGATGCTGTTGATAGACACGTTGATACGGCGTCTATCGGTTGACTCTATTGAGCCCCATTTTCGGCAGGAAGGCGTCGACAAGCGTAGCAGCATGTCAAGGATTCGCGCTGGATTTCCACTTACCAACGCGACATTGTTCTTTGCTAACACAACTTAGGACAGATTGAGGCTTTTTTCATCCAATCAACCCCATGTCATCGCGGAGACATGGGTTCATAGAACGCTGATCTCAACCTACAAGGTGACTCAATAGATAATTCTCCTCATCTGAATAGGAAACCTCATAAAGAAACATCCTAATGCTTATTTACGACGTGCCACCGATTTCGCCCCCCACTAGGGATATAGATAAAGAGATGAACTGTTCCTGTCTTTCAACATCACGCCGCATTCTACTTTTCTTCTATGCACGATGAAGTACTTCAACTTGGCAGCGTCCTCGCTCTATGCAGCATTGTTTTGGCGACCCCAATCCCAGACGCCTCGCCTGATGATCTCGGATATGTAACAGGATCGCCCTATAGGCCAATCGCCTGCTTGTAATCGTAAAAAGGAATGTAAGGGCTAAGTACTTTCCCGACGGTTTCAGCTTGGAATGTCAGCTTACTCGCCATCCTTTCGAGCGTGTTTGACCAACCTATCTACTCCACCCCTCCGCCTCGGTAATTGCTTTCTCGTTTGGGATCAATATGCCCCTTTTGGGAATGGTGGATTGTGATTTATTGTGCTGTTCTGTCTACTCCTTGTGACCCAATATGTCGGGATCTCACGCTCCTTTCTCTGTTGAGTATGTGTGCAATCGCTGGGATTCATTTCAATATCTGTTGTTTATCGAGCAGGTGATAATTCTACGTAGTACACATTTTGTGATAATCTACGCATCTGCCCAAACCTTTTCCTCGGTTTTGTAGTGTCCAAGAGAAATGCTGGTAAATTTCGGGACAGGCTTGCTTTGGCCTGGCTTCTGAGGTGGCTCCTATGCACTTTGAACACATTGGCTATATATCCAGTCAGTCCTTCCTTTTTCTCCATTTCAAGTGATGAATGCTTTAGAACATCCCAGATAATATTCAACTTCCTCCAGTCTCGGTCTTTCGGGAGAAGGCAGTCCGCACTTCGGAAACTGGAATCATTCTTTTCCATTAAAGTGACCGGGAGATTTACCCATTTAGGTGAAGATATTCATACAAGCATCAGGATGTCTCGAGGATCTGATTCTTGCGGTTAGTACGGCCGTATTGAAACAACCACAACCCCACACGGAGTTATAGGGGGTCTTGGCAAGGCTAGGAGCTGTGCACTGGGGAATCTCCACCCCTCACAGAAGCTGGTCTTGTGCTTATTTTCTACCTTTCGGTCGAGTCTGCAAACTGTCCGTTCCTGGAACGGAAATCATCCAGCTGCCAAGGAGCTAGAAACGTCGCGCATTGGTGGAACTATGAGTAAACTCGCCGACTATGCAGGAATGGAGCTCCAGCTAACTACCGAATCTCCACCTTCCAACATTCGTCGTTTCAAAATGAGAGACAAAAGTGCTCTCCTATTATAATATGCTTCTTGTCTGCCCTTCGCCGTCTATCCCGGGCCACCAGCAAATTTTTTGTCTATAGCGCATGTGGGACATGATGTTTGTCAAGTCCCTAGCCATTGCTTCGCTAGCCCTTTTGGCTAAGCAGGCATCCGCGGCCTTCGGAGTCACTACTAGCTCTGATTCCTATGTAATCGATGCTGGCTCTTCAAACCCCCTCAAGTTTACTGTCAGCCGGTCAAGTTGTGACATTACTTCGATCAATTACTATGCAGCCGAGCTTCAATACAAGTCTACTGGGTCTCATATTGGGTCGGGTCTTGGTAGCGCAACTGTGTCCGCGACTCAGAGTGGTGAGTTAAGAAACAAGATGTCTGTTGGGAAATACCCTGATCAATCTAGGCGACTATATCAAGGTAACCTGCGAAACGTCCACCTTGACACATTACTATGTTGTCCGCAAAGGAGATTCCACCATCCACATGGCGACATATACAACTGAAGGTTAGCATTCTTCTTATTCAAGTGTGGTGTGCATACTCATTATTTTCTTCAGAGCCCAGTATTGGGGAACTTCGATACATCGCGCGCCTGAACGCAGATCTGCTTCCCAACGAAGAACCATTCGGCGATGTCTCCACTATCGCAGGTGGTACTGTTATTGAGGGAGAAGATGTTGTAAGTTTCCCTGAAGCCTTTTGTTATTAGTACGACCATCTAACGTACATCAGTTCTTGGTTGATGGAGAAACTCGAAGCAAGTTCTACTCTAGCCAACGGTTTATTGATGACAGCATCCACTGTAAGAAGACCTCTGCCCCATTTAATGCGACTCATCATAACACAGACAGGTGTCTCTGGAAGCGCGCATCGCGTCTGCATGATCTTGAATCAATATGAGACGTCTGCTGGCGGGCCTTTCCAACGGTAAGCTTCTTGGCCGGCATGACTGGATCCAAGCTAATATTTACCAGTGATATCAACACCAACAATGTTGGCTCCTACACTGGCCTATACTGGTACATGGTATGTAACTACTGACGCTCGACTAATAATAAAAAACGCCCTCTTACTCCGTACAGAACTCCGGACATGTTAAGACCGAGGACTACCGCCAGGGTCTGCACGGCCCGTACTCGATGACCTTCAGCCGGAGCGGTACCCCCAGTTCCAAACTTGATACGTCGTTCTTTGCCGACCTCGATATCAAAGGATACGTCCCCACATCTGCGAGAGGCTATGTTAAGGGTACTGCATCCGGGGCTGACTCCGCCTTCAAATGGGTGGTTCACTGGTGGGTACAATGAAGATCATAACGGGTTGAGTGCATTACTAAAACCAATATAGGCATAACGATGCCGCACAATACTGGACATATGCTTCATCCTCTGGAGCTTTCACGTCCCCTCCCATGAAGCCTGGCACGTACACCATGGTCTACTATCAGGGCGAATATCCCGTTGCCACCTCATCGGTGACTGTCACAGCCGGATCAACCACGTCGAAGAATATCTCCGGGTCCGTGAAGACCGGAAAAACAGTCTTCAAGATTGGAGACTGGGATGGGACGTAAGTGAATTGATTTTAGTTCACACAACTGTTCTGATATTGACTGCCTCATAGACCAAACGGCTTCCTCAACGCGGCCAACCAGCTCCGCATGCATCCGTCTGACAGCCGCATGTCTTCATGGTCTCCGGCCACATACACAGTGGGCAGCTCTAAGGTCTCATCTTTCCCCATGGCTCTCTTCAAGTCGGTAAATTCACCTGTGACCATAAAATTCACGGCAAATTCGGAGCAGACGGGAGCTGCGACGCTGAGAATTGGCACGACCCTTTCCTTTGCGTCTGGCCGGCCCCAGGTTAAGGTATGTTCAAGCTGCATGCTTCGTCTTCCGGCTATTGGCATGTATCTAATACTCTACATAGGTCAACAGTTATTCCGGCCCCACCCCGGATGCCCCGACTAACCTCAACTCCCGTGGTGTGACTCGTGGCGCGTATAGAGGTCTGGGCGAGGTTTACGATGTTTCCATTCCGGCTGGAACTATCGTCTCTGGATCTAACACTGTAAGGACTTTTGAACTTAGTCAAATGATACGACGCTAATTCGGCTTAGATCACCATCAGTGTTGCTTCTGGTAGCTCTGGCGATAAATTCCTGAGCCCGAACTTTGTGAGTACCTTTATGATCATCTCGTCTTTTTCGATTGAAGCTTATCTATCTCAATAGGTCTTTGATTGCGTGGAGCTCTTCCAGTAAATATCTGGACAAACAATTGGGTTTCGGGCAGCAAAGCAGAAGATATGTTTTCAAAGTAGCAAGAATCAGAGTCATAGTCGTCTCTTTTCCAATATCACTTATCTTCCTGTACTATCGACGCCCTCAAAGGATAAGTACTAACCCCTACTATCAAAAAAGATGTCATAAACATAGACTACATTCTAAAACCGAGATGTCGCATGTAGAAATGAAATCTAAAATCAGAAAATCTATGCAGTCACGACTCAACCCCTTGAATGCACCAATCTTCCCCCAACCCAGACAGCCTTCACATTCCGATCATCGCCACTCCAAACCCATTTCTCAATCTTCTCCTCCCAACTCTCCGTCCCGAACAGATCAACATTCCCCACAGGACCAGCCTTCACAAGATCCGCACTACCATCGCCAGGAACACCATCCAGCGGACTCTTCTCCAACAGTTTTACCCCACCAAGCCGAACCAACTGCACATCCCACAACATCCCCATATCAAACCCACCAAGATCACTCGCCATATCGACAACCGCCGCTCCACCGCGCGTAGCAAGGTAAAGACTCTCCGGGACAGACAATTTTTCCCGTCCATCAGGCCCATTCTGATCCGCACCCCGAGGATTATCCCTCTGCCACGCAGCCGATTGACCCAACAACCGCGAAGAAAGACAAGCCTGCCGCGCCGCCTCGAGGATACTAGGACTATATCCACCACTAATATCCGTCCCAAGTCCAACCGTAATCCCCTCATCAAGTAGCGTCCTAACCGGACAAATCCCGGACCCCAGCGCCGAGTTCGACGCTGGACAGTGCGAGATCTTCGCTTCGCGTGCGCGGATCAGAGTCCGCTCATCCGCGGAGAGATGCACCGCATGCGCGAGGATCGTGCGCGGCGTCAACAGGTTGTATTTGTCATAGACGGCGGCGTAGCTGCCTGCTTCAGAGAAGAGTTCTTGGACGAGCGCGAGCTCGTTTATGTTCTCCGAGACGTGCGTTTGAATATGCAGTGGGGGCGAGTAGCTTGCTGCTAGTTCACCGAGGCTCTGTAGTGCGGGTCTCGTGCATGAGGGCGCGAAGCGCGGTGTGACGATCGGTTTGACGAGCTTACCTTCTGGGTCCAGGTTGTGGATGTACTCGATTGTCTGGCGGGTCGCAACGATGGAGTCGTCAGCACTGAAGTCGCGGTAGTAGTCTACGCAAAAGTCCGGGTTGTCCATGCATGCGCGGCCGATGAAGGCGCGTTGGCCGCGGGTGTGGCAGAGGTATGATAGGGCGTTTGTGGCTGGGACGTGATTGGTTGCGTAGTAGGAGGCACAGGTTGTGCCGTGGGATAAAGTGCGGGAGATTACTTGGTCGTAGATTTGCTGGGCTATGAGGGGCGAGTCTTTGGGGTCGGTTTTGGTTTGGTGTCCTGTTTTTGGGTCAGGTGGTGACCCGAAGCGTGACTCTACTGGGAATGTGTAGGTCTCTAGCCAGTCTAGAAGTGTTGATGAGCCGAAGAGGCCCACGTTGGGGTATTGCGGGGCATGGATGTGGGTGTCTGTAGATGTGTAGTTAGTATATAAGACTTGTTTGAGACTTGGTTTGGGTTTAGGAGGTTGAACTTGATGCATACCGATAAACCCGGGGAAAAAGAACTCATTTTGTTCCTCACTCGCGGTAACAATCTTCACTCTGACCTTCGAACCACGACCATTGACTTTGCCCTGGGCCCCAACGGCGTCGATATCAACCCACTCATTCCGACTCATCAATTCGGCGAACCCATTCTCATCATTGGCTTGCCAGTTCCAACCTTGAATGCGGCCATCAGCAGCAGAGACCCACAACGCGCCTTGGTTGCGAGACAATTCAGGCTCGGAGCCCGAGTCTGGAATAATCGATTGAATGAATGTGCCGCGGTAGACAGTAAAGGCATAGGCCGTTTGCGATTCCATATTGCCGGTAATCGAGCCCATAGTGCCAGAAGATACCTAAAAAGTCCAACTACAATGGATACGCTCAAGTTGAGGATGAATGTGTGCAGTGGTGTATACCGCTCTCCAGAAAGAAACTCGATCAGAGGTTCGATCAATATATATTATAGATCAACACGCAGACAGTCTCCACGTGGAAATAAAAAGATCAAAGGATCAACCCGAGACCAACAGGCACGAAAAGAGGGTCAGATACGCGTTCATATATCTGTCTTCTCGTCGCTTCTTCTCGCTGCCTTTTGCCAAGCGAGGGGCATTAGATAGGCAATATTGCCCGGAAAGAGTGGGTCCCGAGCTACGGAGAGTTTCAAGCTTGTGCTTGTTTCGAATGTTCTCGAGCTTCCCTGGGTCATTCGAGGCCTGAATTGACGGCGTGTGGGTTGTAGTAGTTGGTTGGATGATTAGGGCCACGGTGATGATTATTGGGGAAGGCGGAGGTCGGCCGTCTCCGACGGTGATACATGGTACATACGGTATTCGGAGCGGGTGAGTTGTTTCTGATAGGGTAATTTACTGGGGAATGGTTCTGTATGGTAATATAGGACTGATAAGCGTCAAGTTCAGCACATGTAAACATTTTTGTTGTGATAGTTGCATATGTATTCTCATAGTCTAGATATTGTTTTAAACTGGAATAAATTGAATGTCTAGAACACTTTCGATTCTTTGAATTGTATTATTCTTGGCATCCATAGATACTGGATGATTATGTTGAATCAATCCAGCCCTCCTAAGGACGTAGTGTGTACCTAGGTAGGTAGTCTTTTTCCTACCATCATCAAAAAATGAGAAATGTTGAATGTATACACAGAGAAGAGGTGAGCGTCAGAAGAATGAGCCCTCACATAAATAAAGGAAAAAAGCAATCAGCGCGGCATGGGTATCATAGATCTGTCTCTAGATCTGTCTCTATTCGCTGTCCTCGACAGGCCCGCAAGTGCAGAACAAGTTCTGGTCACCAAAGGCATCATCAACACGAGTCACCGTAGGCCAGAACTTCTTCTCCAAAAGCAAAGGCAACGGGTAAGCAGCCTGCTCACGAGTGTAGGGGCGGTCCCACTGAGCGACGAGTAGGTCGCGCTGAGTGTGCGGGGACATCTTCAGCACGTTACCCTCGCGAGGCTGGGCACCAGACTCAACCTCGCTGATCTCCTTACGGATGGATATCAAGGCATCGCAGAAGCGATCCAGCTCAGCCTTGTTCTCGGACTCGGTGGGCTCGATCATGAGGGTGTTGGCGACGGGCCAGGACATGGTCGGGGCGTGGAAGCCGTAGTCCTGGAGACGCTTGGCGATATCGATGGCCTCGACACCGCAGGTCTCCTTGAAAGCGCGCACGTCGAGGATGAACTCGTGTGCGCAGCGGCCGTGATCGTTCGTGTATAAGATCGCGTAGTAGGGCTTCAGGCGGGAGAGGATGTAGTTTGCGTTGAGCAGGGTGATCTTGGTGGCGTGGGTCAGACCGCGGTCGCCCATCATGTTAATGTAGTTGAAGGTGATGGGCAAGATGCTGGCACTACCCCAGGGAGCAGCGGAGATGGGAGGGGACGAGGTGTCGCCACGCTTCGACTGCAAGTACTCGCTGGTAGGGTGCGAAGGCAGGAAGGGACGCAGGTGCTCGCCGACACCAATAGGTCCGACACCGGGGCCACCGCCACCGTGGGGGATACAGAAGGTCTTGTGAAGATTCAAGTGGCACACGTCGGCGCCGATCTCCCCAGGAGAGCAGAGGCCGATTTGGGCATTCATGTTGGCACCGTCCATGTAGACCTGGCCACCGTGCTCGTGCACCAAGCGGCAGGCTTCCTTGGCACCGGGCTCGAACACACCGAAGGTACTTGGGTAGGTGATCATGAACGCAGCCAACTCGTCCTTGTGCTTCTCGCACTTAGCCTTGAGGTCCTCAAGATCGAGGTTACCGGTCTTGGTGTCACACTTGATGGTCACAACACGCATACCAGCCATGGCGGCACTAGCCGGGTTGGTACCGTGAGCAGAGACAGGAATCAAGCACAGGTTGCGCTTGGCATCGCCCTTGGCCTCGAAGTACTTCTTGATAACGCGAAGACCGGCGAACTCACCCTGGGCACCGGAGTTGGGCTGCACAGTAACCTCGGCCATGCCAGTGATATCGGCCAGCTGCTGCTCCAGATCGTCAATCATCTGTGTGTAACCCTTCGCTTGCTCGGCAGGCATGAAGGGGTGAATCTTGGAGAACTCAGGCCAGGAGACGGGGATCATTTCCGTGGTAGCGTTGAGCTTCATGGTGCAAGATCCGAGGGGAATCATGGAGTGGGCCAAAGAAAGATCCTTCGATTCAAGGTGGTGGATATACCGGAGCATCTCAGTCTCGGAGTGGTAGGTATTGAAGACAGGGTGGGTCAGGTAAGAGGAGGTGCGCTCAAGGCTGGCAGGGACAGTGGTGAGACCAAGGGTGCCATCAACCTCGACGGGAGAGGCAGACTTGTGAGCGGCAAAAACATCCAAAATGCCCTTCACCTCATCGCGGCCAACAGTCTCGTCCAGAGAGAGACCGACCTTGTTTCCGCCCAGGCGGCGGAGGAAGACAGAGGCAGCGCGGGCCTCGGCCATGATGGCATCAGCCTCCGCAGCGCTGGGCAGTTCAATGGCCAGAGTGTCAAACACAGCACCGCCGTCAGCGCTGTTGGAGCGGAGCGGGACATCATAGCCCAGGCTGACAAGCTTCTCGCGCAGCAGTGAAGTCATGGACATGATACGCTGGGCAATGGACTTGAGGCCAACAGGGCCGTGGTAGATAGCATACATGGCAGTCATGTTAGCAAGCAAAGCCTGAGCAGTGCAAATGTTGCTGGTAGCCTTCTCGCGGCGAATGTGTTGCTCGCGAGTCTGCAGAGCCAGGCGCAGAGCCCGGTTACCGAGGCGGTCCTTGGACACACCAACGACACGACCAGGTACCTTGCGCTTGTACTTGTCGGCACAAGCAAAGAATGCGGCGTGGGGGCCACCGAAGCCCATGGGAACACCCAGACGCTGAGCACTTCCGAAGGCAATATCAGCGCCAAACTCGCCGGGGGCCTTCAGAACGGTCAACGCAAGCAGGTCCGTGGCTACACTGAAAGTACCACCCTGGCCGTGGATGGAGTCACCAAGAGCCTGGAAATCGTAGATACCTCCCTCAGTATCGGGGTACTGGGCAAGGACACCGATCAGGTGGTCTTTCTGGTCCTTGACGATCTTGAAGTCATCGGCCAAGATATCTCCGATCACGAGGTTGATTCCGAATCCTTCGGCGCGGGACTTCATGACAGCAATAGTCTGGGGGTGGCAGAGGTGAGACACAACGAAAGACTTATCGGCCCTCTTCTGCTTGGAAGTAGGCATTGTGGCAAAGGACATGGTCATGGCCTCGGCAGCGGCGGTGGCCTCATCCAAAACCGAGGCATTGGCGAATGGCATACCGGTCAGGTCAGCTGTCAGGGTCTGGAAGTTCAGCAGAGACTCCAGACGGCCCTGGCTGATCTCGGGCTGGTAGGGTGTATAGCTGGTGTACCAGGCAGGGTTCTCGAGAACATTGCGCTGAATGACCGGGGGCACAATGGTGGGGTAGTAACCGGTTCCAATATAAGTCTTCCCGGAGATATCAATCTGCTTCCGGTAGGTGTCCAGCAACTTGAGCATATCGGTTTCACCCAAACCACCCTGCACACTAGAACGGTACAGGCTGATATCGGCGTGGGGCTCGGAGACCTTGAGGTCCTTCTTGGAGAGAATATCCTCAGGCAGAACCTGCTTCACGAAGTCATCCAAGGATGACACTGGCGGGTCGAGCACGGCGAGCATTTCTGCCGCGGCGTCCGGGGAGGGGCCAATGTGACGGCGGGGGAAGGTATCGAGAGGCTGGAAGATATCCTGGGGGTGGGGATCTCCATGGTCGGAGATGGAGCTAGTATAGACACCACGACGGGTCGCGGGCTGCGAGGTATGCAATGCTCTCCGAGTGTTCAATGGTGACAATGAAGCTCGGGTAATTGAGGGCACACGAACACGCGACCGCAGAGCAAGTTGGCGGCTGCCGCGAAGGGCAAACAATGATGCCGCCATACTGAGACCGGAGGATAATGAGGGCTTCAGGGAAAGCACTCAACACATCCACAAGTAAATCAGTAAATCAATGAGTGAGGAGGATGAAGAAGAACATAAAAGTGCCAGACCTATGGAAATTAATATTTATTGCCCACCTCTTTCCTTTTCCCTGTCCGATCGTCCGATGGCGGAGAACCTGTCGGGAAACTTACAGCGGCGATAAGAAATTATAGGGACCCTTCTTATCTGACCAATCACAGCTGCCTCTGTTTGCCACGGGCCCCAGCTGGACCACTGACCGCCTTCCAGTCGGAGCAAACGGCCGGTTTCCCGTCGGAAAAGTTGTACATCTACTCCACGAATTCCCCCACCGAAGGGGAAGCTCCGATGGTATCTTGCTTTCCTTGAGCTTTTATGCGGATCATTTAGAAAAATATGAAAAGTGGAAATGGCCTTCGCATTACTATCTTGATCCAATCTAGGACTTGAATAGCTACATATGCCCCGGACCTCAAATCGTATACCGGAAAGACGCATCGCCCTCAATGACCCGCTTTCCCCGATTCGCCTGCTTATTACAGAACCGGAACCACGCACTCAAAGCAAGAACCAACAAGATGATGAGAATGTTACATCTAGTGAAAAACAGTCAGTACACGAACACAATCTGAGACAGAAGGAACTGGAGAACACATACGCGATAGCAGCATACATTCCCGGTCGGTACCCGGGTGCGTCCTTTTCCCGGAACACCAAGCTACTCACGATACCACCGAGACCTCCAAAGCCTACAAGTGTAGCACTAGAGAAAGCACGCGTCCACTGTCCGCGCACATTGTTCGCCTGATATGCCATGCAGGATGGAATGTTAGCGTTGGCACCGGCGACAGTGAAGAACACGCCGACGTAGCGGACAGCATCGCTCTTAGCGAATCCCATCATTGGCAGGCCAATGATAGCGAGCAGGGCATTGAAAATTAGAATCGGTGCGCGCATGCGGTACTTGTCGCCAACCCAGGCCGTGCCGTACATGACGATTCCTGCGAACCCGTAGGGTGGCGCGACAAGGCATTGGGCTTCACCGACACCGTAGCCCATTCCGGTCATGAGGATTATGGGTAGGAAATAGGCAATCGCGTAAGTGACGGTAGTGAGACAGCTGGGATATGGTTAGGAGAAATCCAGGTCTGTTGGAAAGGGAACGCACAAGAAGATCATGGCAAAGCCCCAGATCTTAGGATCCATTGCGGGTTTTAGGAACTTCTTGAGAGAGAAGGCTTCCATATCACCATCGTTTCGGTCCTTGTTAATGCGACGGACGACGAATGCGCATTCTCTCTCGTTTAGGAAGCGCCAGGACTTGTGCGCGCGGTCAGGGAAGTCGACGAGGAAGAAATAGCACAGGATGCCAATGACGCCGGTGATCTGTGCTTGTTAGCTCGCTGATCTTGTTTCGGTTGGCCTGACTCTGCGTACCACACCCTCGAGGATGAAAATCCATCTCCAGCCGGTCAGACCCTCCCTTCCGTGCAATTGCATCAGACCAAAGGCAAGGATACCCGCCAAAGCAGAAGCGACACATCCAATGAGATAGAAAACGGAGAATCGCTTTTGGACATCATCTTTGGAGAGTCAGCACTTTGCAGTCACTTAGAGGGGTCTCTTTTGGCGATCTCTCTTACATCGGGTATACCAGCAAGATAGCAAGTAGACGCAGCCGGGGAAATAACCAGCTTCCAGCACACCCAGAAGCACACGCGTTCCGACCAACGCGCCCCAGTCTTGGACGAATCCCATTCCCTGCGCCAGTCAATAAACCAGAGTCTTAATATTGAGAAAGCGGAAAGCCCTTACAATCATGATCCCCGCCCAGCATACAATAATCGAGGACAGGAAATAGGTTGGGCCAACTTTTCGAATAATAACCGTCATCGGTGGCTGGAAGATAATATAGGGCACGAAGAACATCAGGACGATAATGGACTATTCAGAGGTTAGCTATTGGCCATCTGCAAAATGTGATCCATGTTTGAACGTACGTAACGCTCGCCTATATGCAGATGCAATTCTTCTTTCAGCCTACTTAGAGGTCAACCATCGTTGCATACAATTCTCCTTCACGACTGTGGTCATACCCTGCAACGGCAGCCATGCTCAGATTCGTCCGGTCCATGAGCGAGACGCAATAAGCCAATCCAGTCATGGTCACCAGACGCAGATCAATTCGTCGAATGATCTTCTTCTGTTCCTGGGGAGTGAACTCATCATCATCGTCGCTGGAAGGGCTCTTCGCCGCGATATCCTCGATACGGTCATCAGCAGGGGGTTTCTCATCGATTGAAGTCATCGTTGCCATCCTCATGTGTCTGAATTGAATTGGAGTATTTAATAGAAGGATAAGATGTAGACGAGAGTAGTAAAGGAGGTATGAGAAGAAAAAATAATTCAATTAACTTCGACCAGAAATTGAAGACGAAGGAAGCTGTAGCCTTATCTAGCAAACCACAAGACGAGCAAGGATATGTATATCCAAGTCGGGATATATCCCACATTCATCTCATCCGTTCCTAAACCAGCCATTCAAGATCGGCGCTCGCCTAATACAGCCCGCTTCAATCTGCCCAGGAAAATCCTCAAGAAACAAGACCCATCGAGAACGCAATAGCCGAGAGGAATTGGCAAAGTGCCTCGGGACAAGTACAATTGCCGCAGAAGAACGGCATTCTCAGAAATATTGTCCGAAACAAAGGAGGGGAAAGTCACCCCACTTAGTGAGAGCCTCTACGAGTCATCTGTTGCGCACTGAGCTGGTTAGGGGCGGTGGCGGTTACCTTGGGAGATAATCCGGGGGGCGATGGCGAAGGAAATGCGGGGGAAGGCACTTGGCAACTTGGCAGGCGCATTGACTACGTGATACACTTTCTTCTTTGGGGACGTCTGGAGTTTAATTGGAGATGTCAATCTTGTGGGGACCAGGGATGATCTGTTCTATTCCTCTGCCAATGTTGCTTGGTTAGGGTTTTAGTTTTATTTTTGATTCACGCACTTTGGAATTGTTTTTAGGAAAAGGAATCCACCAAACCTCCTCGCTTCTCTCTGGAATTCCTTGAGTAAAGGAGACATCCATGAATTGATCTCGTACTTGCCAGTTCAGGAGGTGCCATTCAGAGTTCCGGCCAAGAGTCAGCAATGAGTTTAGGGAACTTTAACATCCTCTAATACGTCGAAGCTAGAACCTGACCGGTGCTCTCCGAAACTGTAATCTCCCATGTAGAAAAGCCTCTAATGATCCTGGACTGATCCGGTATAATCCTGGCATTAAATAGCGTTATATGGTGATATCATTATGCAGAATCCATGGGTAACACATACATCCGAGCAATGCAGGGTTTCTATTGTAAGTTGGTTCTTAGTACAGCCCCACTATAGCCGAGTTATTTCATGCCATGTGGTTCATTAAAGTATTCACCTTAAGGTTTTATAAGGACAAGGGGCCAGAATATAGATGGACAGCAAGTGTTGACCATACCATTGTGAATTAAATTGCAATTTTTCTTTTTTAAACTACCTCGGTTCTCTTAAAACCGCTAATCCGATCAACGGTACCTTCCATTATCCTCGTATTCGTCCTCCTCTTCGTCCTCTTCCAAAAGCAGACTCTCGCGTTCTTCCTCATGCACCCGATCCTGCTCTCCCAGCTGTCTCACCGACACGAAAACAAAGATCACGAGTGCTGTTCCAACAATGAATCCCGCAACTGCCAAGATAATATTGATTGGAATTGGGTTTCCATCAAACGTACGATGTGTCAATGCGTCGAGTCCGTACTGAGAGAAGTTCGCAATTCCCGAGAGGCAAATGATGGCACCGTACACACGCCCAAACGTGGCGAAGCCGAAGACTTTGGTAGCATAATCACTGGAGCCGAGATTAGCAGGTAGAGTATAGCAGTGAGTGGGTGAAAGACATACGACATGGCCGAGTAATAGAGAGGCCGGAGTAAGACAAAGAGCAAAACGGTCATATAACCAGCCCAAAGTGCTGGGATGGAGTTTAGCACACCAATGACCGTGGTGAAAAGCACAATCACGCCAAGCATCGTTGGCACACTAAGGCGATCAAGCAGGAACCCGATCACGGGCGTGAAGAGAACACCCCCAACCGGCAGTGCGACGTCGAAAAGGGCGCCTATCTTGTCTGCCTTTTGGACCGATCCGAGCATGTACTCATACTGCGAGCGAATCGTCGCGATAAAGTAGTTCATGCGAATCATCTGCAAGACAGTCATAAGTGTAATCAGGATAAACCATGGCGTAGCCATCTGCTTGTGCGCCGGCAGACCGTGCAATACACCCCAGACCCAACTCGTCTGCTGGCGATCCTCTTCTCGATCCGCACGCATCTGTCGCTCATCTCTATCGCCGAGCACCGCATCGATCTGACGGATCTTCTTCTGTCGCCGTTCCGCTCGCCTTTTCCGCACCTGATTTAACTCCGACGTGCTCTCGATTTCGTCGTCGGAGTCGTGGACATCGCGAGTGGCATCTTCGGCCCTTTCTATCTTGTTTTCCAATTGCAGGGTCGAGACATAATCGCGCGCTGGCATGATGGTCACCAGTGCGATGAATACACACACGGGGACTATCAGATAGCCCAAAAAGAACTTATCCGGGGTGAAGGACCTGCCGGAAGCCTCATATATGACCCGGTAGAAAAGGAACACAGCAGCAGAGGCATCGAATGCACCAGTCACCAGCGCGACGATCGTCCCCGCATATCTGGGGAACGCATTTGCGATCTGGAACGAGGGAACAAATAAAAAGGTACCAGCCAAAGCGAGGAAAAAGTTCCCCGCGATATAGCCATCGAAGCCGGGTTCATGGAATGCCACGGCCATGATAAGACCGCCGATAGCAAGCAGCAGGCAAGCAATAAACCAGCAGACACGTGATCCGCATCGGTCCAATATTGTCCCAACTGGCAGAGCGGAGACATTTGCTGTTATCGAAGCAATAGTGAAGAACAAATTCAGTCTAGCAGTCGATGAGTCACAAGCATAACTCGGGGTGGCCTATGGAACAAACATACCTAAGGTCCTGCTGTGAGCACAGCTCAAGCCCTTCATCTATTTCGGCAGGAGTGCAACGCTCGTGGTAAACGCCTTCCTCCACGAGGACAGGCTTGAGCGCCGCGAAGCCAAACACGATCCCCGACGCGCTCCAGCACGCGAGAACGGTGATGATGACCTGGGCTGGATGGGTGTCAGCACTGTGTCTTACGCTGAGCTGAAGAGTACGCACCTATTCTCTTTGTGTGGGAGTGTTTGTACGCTGGTGTTCCAGGCCGCGTTTCTGCGACCGGGATAGCGTCGCTAGGAGGTTGGATGACATCGTAGCTGATTTTTCGGCGAATGGGAGCGAAGTCGTAGTCGTCGACTAGGTCTGGTTCGAGTTCGCGATCGATGCCGTCAATGGCAGAAACATGCTGGACCAGGGACATCGCTCTGTGTTGAACAGATGAGGTGTTGTGGTGGGGAGGTTGGTCTTATCGTGGCAAAAACTCGGTTCTTTCCGTCTCGCGCTAGAGTCTTATTTAGGCAGGGCAGCTTTTACCCATATATATATTTTAGCTTGTGCAATGTCTTTTGAGTCAATGAGTTAGTATGATTTATTTACATGTGGGTAGCTATGTACTTGTGTGATTTCCATGCTTAATATAACTTGGAGCTGTGAAAGCTACAGCACCTGACACCTCTAATTTTCCCCTGTCAACTCGAAGATACTAGAACTACATTCACAAGTTGAGATATTAATAGTACCAGGTAGGACAAGCTATTTGCCGGTTCCGATTCGCCGGGGGATTCGCCTCAATTGCCCCTTGTTCGGTCAAAAGCTTTTTCCTTATAGCTCAATTTTGTCCAATCACGATTATTATAGAAGAGCCTCTCATTTTGCCAGTTGAAATTAAGGTGAAGGCCATCCATGGGTCATCCTCGGGGACTCAGGAACACTTGGTATGGATTGGCTACTCCGTTAAACGAATACGCACTAATAAAATATTGTATTCCTAACCCTTGAGCACTGGAATTCTAATATTTCGAGTGGAAATCTCTAGGAAATGGTATACAGCGAAACACACCCCTTAGCCATATAATTTAGTCATCAAAAGTGATACCCATTCTCAAGCAGCTGTGGAAGACCTTTTCTCCTTCTTGATTGACCTCCATTCCATCGTCAATGCGGGGACAATCATCAGACAGGACACAGCCACGGTGACAATGAATGACTGCCGGAGGCCATCATTGTATAAAGCCAGTACCTGGGTCAACTTGGCAGCCGGGACAGCATTAGAGAGGCCCGTTGCCCCAGCCGCCAGGATCTTGGCCACATCAATTCCCTGTATGTGGGGTAGGTTTGCACCGAGGTAATTCTGGAAGAGCGACTGAGCGACAGCGATAAAGACAGCTCCACCGAGAGACTGCGCGAAGAACATGAGCGAGACACCAATGGAGACCTCATCCATAGGAAGAATGGTCTGCGCTGCCATGGAGGGCTGCTGCATTCCCGTGCCGATACCGATACCAAACAACACCTGGTACCCGATCCAGGCAGCGTGGTTGGTGTCCATCTTGAAGGTCGTCATCAACCCTGCGCCCGTCGACATGAGGATGGCTGCAACGAACATCCACGGAACATAATATCCCGTTGCAGTGATGATTGAGCCGGAGAGGATGGATCCGATAACAAGCGCTAGCACCATGGGGATCGTGTCGATGCCGGACTTCACAGCTGATGTGCCGCGCACGCCCTGGAACCAGAGTGGGAGCGTGTACAGCATAGATATTAGCCCTCCACCCGCACACAAGGCAAAGACGACTCCGCTGATGATACTGCGCTGGTTGAAAATATGAGGTGGCACCGTTGCATCCTTCTTAAGCCAGATCTGCACGCCGACAAAGGTAATCATCAAGATTCCTGCTATGACGAACAGCGCGATGATGCGCCCGTTGCTCCAGGCGTAGGTCGTGCCACCCCATTGCAGGGCGAGCAGGAAGCAGATGACAGAGGGCAGGAAGAGCACGCTTCCCAGAGGGTCGAGGCGAAGGATCTTCCGCTTCCAAGTGCACGGTTGGGACTTGTGGGGGACAGCCAGGAAAAGGAACAAGACAACCATGGTAAAACCGCCAATGGGCAGGTTGATGTAGAAGCACCAACGCCATGTCACGTTGTCTGTAAACGCACCACCCATCAGAGGTCCGATGATTGACGAAAGCCCAAACGTCGAGCCCATAAGCCCGACGTACATGGGCCTTTTGGCCAGCGGCACGATCTGTGCGATTATCACCGTTGCGCCGGAAAATATGCCTGCCGATCCAATCCCTGCTATCGCCCGTCCCACGATGAAGGTCTTGGAGTTGGGCGCGCCGCCGCAGAGGGCCGAACCGACTTCAAAAGTTAGGATAGCGATCAGGAAGATAGTCTTGGTCGGGTAGAAGGTGTACACCTTGCCCCAGGATAGCTGGGTGGCGCAACTTGTCAGCAGATACGCACTCGCATACCAACTGAGATCGTCCAGAGCATTGAACTGGTTTGCGATTCGGGGGACTGCTGTGGCAATGATGGTGCGATCCTGTCCAAACTTATGTTAGTATAGATCCACGTCACGTGGGGAAATACAGCACTGTAATTCATACCAGGGCAACCAAAAACATAGCAAACAGAATAGAGATAATAATAGCTAGCAGTCGAACCCCTGTTGGCAAGTGAGTCTCATCTTCCTTGACCTCGGAGGGCTTCTCGGTGTTAGTCGAGAGCTGGTCGGACTGCTGGTCGGGCTGCTCTTCTATCGATCGATTCATTGTATAATACAAGAATTGCTAAATGGCAAACAGTAGATCCCTAACACTGATCTAAATTGACAGATATGAAGAAAAAAGGGAGACTTATAAATAATTGGGGGTAGTTTAAGATCTCGGGGGTGAAGATGAGTTCGGCGCCGAACAACATCGAGCAAAATTCAGTTCGGCGCCGAGCTAAGGACTTAGTGTAGTAACGCCCTTCGCTCCTTCTCGGTTATGGCTTATTATTTTGCTAATAACGCTTCATGCTATTCCACGCTCTGTGGTCGTTCTCGTTTTTATTGTTTTAATAGCGGAAAGTGCAGCGCGCCTTTTACCGGGCTCATGTATGCGAAACGCACAGGAACGCAAGGGAACGCAATGCATCGTTCGGACCGAAAGAGCTTAGATTATGAAATTTTAACTGGACTCCAGCATTTCCGTGGTGAGTCTCAACTACCGCCAACAACCTCATCTCTTCGCCTGCACTATCGATAATCCGACGATGAATCGCACAGTTGAGCTCTGCCGCCGTAGTCCCAAGGACTTCTACCACTTTTGTGAGTTCTGAACGAGTGGGATCATAGCCTACCGTATCACACAGGTGAGACTTAAGAAGCTCCACAAGCCTGTCACCAGCCTAGGTCTCCATTAACAGCCAGGTGCCACGAAGGACTTGATCGCTTCCCGTTCCTCCTTTCAATACCTCGATCAACAACCTGCGCGAGTACCACGTTCACTTGGTACCACTTCCCCTGTCCCTCTGGCCCAGTGTCTTAATTATCTCGGCTTGCGACAGTGCAGGAATAGTGCAGATATCTTGTCCTAAGAACATGGAAGGGACAATTCTTAATAGAGACTGACTTCTCGGAAACGGCTGAGAAACGCTCTTGCCGGCGTGCTCAATGCAAGTCAGCTTATCTGTCAATGGGGAGGTTATTGTAGATCGTTCTCCTCTTCTTCGCACGTGTTTTGGACCATTTCAATTGTTGGCATTTGTTCACTTCCTGAGCAATTCATAATGCTGCGGGTGTTGCACGTGCAACATGCGTTGGAAGATAATAATACGAAGCACGCCGCACATAGTATATAGTAGGTTGTACAACTACAGATCGTAGGTCATGTTCATTGACTCGGTGGAAAGCAGTAGATAAAAATAGGAGCTATAGCCGCTTCTGGTTTGTCGAAAGCTCCTCGGGAGTGTCCATTAATGGTTCCGTGGTTCGAAGACAGGAACAGGATATATATATAACGTAAACCGGCCTGCAGTACATCTATATGCATGTATGTAGATACATGTATGTATTTGAAGGGCAAGAATATTACCTTCATACGCAGCTTTTAAGCCCACAGAAAAGATCTGAAAGGTTAGATAAAAGAAAATGGAGAAATATATCATCAAATCACACTCTCCATGTTATAGATGCCAAGAATTAATATAAAAATGCCTCCACTCGTGATGGCTATGACGTATGGCAGCCCGATGCCAATGACGTAGGCCTGGAGCACCCGTTATATGTCAACCTGGCTGAACATGGCTGCCACTTTTCATTTTACCTGCTCTACGTACATTGTCAATTAGAACTTTTGCATAGCATTGGCTTGGTTTGGCTTGAAACGATAATAATCTGCAAGCCGAGTTTCAGCGATTGCAGCGATAACAACAAACGCAGTACATGCGTTCAAAAGCCATAAAAGAGAAACAGCACAAACAGCACAAACAGCACGATGGCCAACATATCAATTAGCGCCCCTGGTCTGAGCAGCGGCGGGTTCCTTTACAACAATGGCAACAATAACGCGCGACTATGTGTCACAGCCGAGACCGAAGATTTCGACATGGAAATCATCAAGAACTGGCAAGAGGAAGGATTCGACGTCCTATACCTCCCTTATAACGGCGGAAGGAAAGACTACGCTCGCCGGCTACAGTCTGTAAAGGACGGTCTGGGTGTAGGCGAAAACTACGCCGTAGTCGGTATGAACAGAACTCTCTAAATATCAAACTCTAAGTGATGAACTGACTGACCCGATTCCTAGCCTACGGCGAGGCCGCGGACTACTGTCTTGAGTACTATATCAATTCCGTCAACGCTAGTCGACTCTGCGCTCTGGTCGCCTACTACCCTAGCCTAATCCCCGATACACGGTCACGATTCCCACTCTCGCTCCAAGTCCTCGTGCACTTGGCAGGTGAGACCGTGGACGTACTTGTTCAGCCCGCCGCGCTTGGTTTGCAAGGAAAGAAACGCCGCCAGACGCGGCCGATTAACACTGGTATCGGCACTGGAGAGCGTTTGGATCTGGTGTACCCGGCGTTTACATATAATAATGCCCTGCCTGGGTTTGCAGAGACGGATCTGGAGGAATATGATCATCGGTCGGCGGATCTAGCCTGGACGCGGACTTTGAAGGTCTTGCGGAAGGGGTATTCCAGGGATCCGGATTACGAGCAGCGGTATGAGCAGCATGTGGAGGGTAAGTTGCAATCACAAAGGGGTCGAGTGATGACGGGCTAATGCTCTGTTAGGCAAGTTTTTCTCGTCGGACGTCAGGAAAACGATGGATGGTTACGTCCAGCATAAAACCCCCGGTGTCACATATACGCCGACAATCAGCGGCGGGATCGGAAAAAAGGCGTTGCGCCATTTCTATGAACATTACTTTATCGGAAAACTGCCCCCGTCCATGCGCCTCCGACTGCTATCTCGTACCACAGGACCCGACCGCATCGTGGATGAGCTGTACGTGAGCTACGAGCACACACAGGAGATCCCATGGATGCTACCTGGTGTCCCGCCGACAAACAAGCGAGTCGAGATTATCCTCGTGAGTATTGTCAGTATGCGCGCCGGGCGTCTTTACTCTGAGCACGTATACTGGGACCAAGCCAGCGTGCTCGTTCAAGTCGGTCTTCTGGACCCCAAGCTGCTGCCAGATAGAGTCCAGGGTATTGGCCGACTGCCCGTTGTTGGGCGCGAAGCTGCTCGTCGAATTCTCCATGAGGATACGGAGCTTGAACAGGAAGACTACCATAACAAGATGATTCGTCGCGCGCGTGCCCGCGCGAGGAGGAGCATGAATCAGAGTTCCCGCGTCCCACAGGCTGGCGATGAGTCTGGTACTGATTTGAAGAGTGAGCCGGAGCAGATATTGCCTGACAGGAGTCGAAATAAGGGCAAGTCGGTCCAGAAAACGAAGCCTGCGAGTCTACAGCGGACAGCTACTGAAGCGGCTGAGCACGAGGATGATGATGGTGCCGATATGGAGACAGAGTCTAACACTGCAAAGGCTAGGTCTGAGGCTAGTGATAAAGCTGCCTATGTATGTTGAGGATGGGGGAGATGATAGTGCCGAGAACGGGTCTAAGCAGACATGACTTTCAGCTTCTACTTCTCTTTGTCGAGATGACAACAAGGACATTACCATGGCCCTTGCTCTTCCTTCAGAGGAGATCAAGTTGACGACTCATGAATTCAGCTGGGAATATTCTTTCGATTTTTTAGGCGGCTTTTCCTTGATTACGAGTGATGTTGTACCTATCGACCTCTTCTGTTTAGCATGAATAGTTGTTACTGTTTTGGATACGATGATGAATGTGATATGTATGTTTGGACAGACATTGTGACATCCATGGACACTGCAAGACCAGACTTGTCAGAAAGTACATATGTAATATTAGGACCTGTGATTTACTAGATGCGGTTAGTTTTGCCGTTCCCGGCTTAGCGCCCTAATACACTGTCATGTAAGCTCTCCCTCCGTTGCTCCGACATAAAAGACAACGCCTGCCCTCTCAATCTCTTTTTTCCTCCCTCTCCCTCCCTTCAACTCCTCTATCTTGCACTCATCGCCGGCCCCTTTCTTCCATTCTGGCCCCCACCGACCATTGCGCCTTAGCTTTCAGCCCAACGCACTGCCCCTTTCATTTTACCGGAGATACCGCTCGATCCGACGCCCAGCTCATTCTCGCTCCTCCCGCTGGACTAGTAGTCGCACAGGGGCAAAAACACTGAGATTTTCTAGCC